TCTTATTTGTTCCTCCTGCGCCTCCAAAGTGTGCTTTTGTTTTAGAGCAGCCATGCGCTCCTGTAATGCTGCTCTCTCTGCTTGCGCTAATATTTTTGCAGATGCACTGGATGAAATCCTTGACAATTTAGAGCCAGCCTTTGAACGCGCTGCAGAACCTTTATTGGATACACTGTCCTCAGGCCCAATATCAGTTTGATTATCAGGTGGTTTAATTGGAAGTTCATATGAATGGCCTGCATTTGATAACCAGCCTTTGACGTCATCAATAAAGCTTGAAAAACACTTCTCCTTTTGTTCGAAATATTTATCTTGTTTCTCCTTCTCATCCTGAGGTATGTCCAGTGACACAAATGATAAATGATGTTGTTTTGCCTCATCAACACATATTATTATTTGATCCAAAAGAGACTTGACTGCATCAATATTGTCTGCAGAATGCATCAACTTATCCATCTGATTCATGTACGATTTGGCTCGTTTGTATTGCATCGATCTCTTTTCCTGACACGTTTGCATAAAAAACATCATTCCTTTAGCAGTAAAACTTGTGCGTCTTCTTGTAGGAAGCGCCGTGTCGCTTTTGGCTTTAGATGCAACGTCAGACATTTTACCCTTTGTTGATGCCGGTCATGTACACACACAGTTGTTTGCAAAGATTGAATACAGCACATACCTTGTGGAACTTTGTTTGTTGCGGTGGTTGCCTTTGTACACGGAGTTGAATGCACGCAGTAGCTGTTGTTGCGCGCGGCCGTGCGCGTTACCTGTGAAGGCTTTGGGCCTTTGCGAATTCAAATTGCAGCAAATAATATCCTCCACTCCGTAGTGCAGCTCCAGCGCTCCAGTAGCTTCACCGTTATCCAGTACGGTGTCCAGGGAAACTTTACACTGTCGGATGGGTCGTATTATTCGATGTTTGCACTGTATCCAGCCCACACCTCCGTCACTCCTAGGCCCTTTCCTTTGTTTGTCTCCCGCATCCAGGTGAGTAATCCACTTTCGAAACGGTAATCCAGCAAACGACAAGTCCAGTATCCACGTAAACCAACGATATATCCAGGGCGGGTTTTTTACTTATTGTAGTGGCTATTTGTCCATAAACTTAAACAAAAACAAATAATAACAAACTTCTCAAATGGCCACTCGAGGCTACGTCATGGTTAGGCTTTACGCAGGTTCAGAGGTACCAAAGCAAAGTAATGTCCATAACAAGATTGAGTTTGAGGCGGTTTATTCACACACATAAGCAAGCTCACAGACATTTCTGCTGCCTCTCTCACGCTGGCTGCCTCTCTCACGCTGGCTGCCTCTCTCACGCTGGTAAAAAACCATATGCCCTCGTGCCTGAAGTACCTCCCACCTTGACCTACTTATGCAAATGAACATAACACCATGTGACCAATAAACGACAATACGAGTAAAGCATAAATACAAAATACACCAAATTAACTTTAACAGGAAAAGAAAAAGAAATAAGTAAGGCTATAAATTAACTTAAACCCAAAATAAACAAAAATAAAAATATAGCTCCAACACCGCCGACATCACCGACACTTCCAAGGTGAAAAGAAACGACCAATACCTTCTGTCATGCAATAAAAGTATGTGTATTAAAAATACATTACCATAGCAGCTGTCCCTGTTCTGTGCTACATTTAACCTGGTTCATATCGTATGAAGCATTACTTGTGCCTGTCAAAGATAATGTGTAGTCCAGTGAATGTATTTTTACTATTTCTGTGCAATGAAGGTATAGAGGAACTAGCTACATAGGTTCAGGCCACACAAGCTTGTTAGTAGTATAAGGGCCCCCCTTTTGCTCGTGCATGTGACCTTTGACCTTGTGCACGTGCAAGTGGGCGTGTACAGGAAGCGTGCGTAACCGCCGCCATTTTGTGGGCAAAATGCGTCATTTTACGAGTGGAAACGGAAATACATAATTTTGGGGCGTGCACTGTTTAAGCATAAATAAGCCATAAATTGAGGATGGCATGCGTGGTTTTGATTGGAAATTCGTCATTTTAGGGTGTGTTTTATGCGATGGGCGTTAGTTTTGACAGGAAACACGTCACTGTAGTAGGGGTTTCATCATATATATAGATGTGTTATTCGCCTCCACCACCAACGCCTTCATTCTGGACTCATCCTCTGTTGCTGCTGCTACTGCTGTTGGTTCCGCTACTTTTGCTGTGCACTCGGATTCTTTGCGAAATGCAGGCTGCATATCGTATGGAGCAGACCCCAGAGACTGACACAGAAAATAGACCATGCTATGCAGATGTAGATGCTCCCCAGCGCCGGAAAACGCGCGAGGGATGTCTTTCTAGAGGACCTGCTGTAGAGCTAGAGCTGGAGGGTGTTTATGGGTACGTCTATAATGTTAAATACTATGATGCACGGTCACGATGATTTCTACAGTCAATGCCCAAGACTAGCTAGGAGGGTGTGTTGGAGAAACAGTTGATGATGAGGTTGTTGTGGGGGGGTAGGCGTGGTTGTATGTCTGTAAAAGACTGGCAGCAGTTTCGGACAATTGTCTGTACAGATCTTGAACAACCAGGCTTTCTAGAATCTCTATACTCTGTTCAGTGCTATAGTGCAACAGGGCCTAAAATACACCATCTTACGGCAGATCGGTACAACAGACGTCATGACGATTTCATTTTTTAAAATGTCTGTGAAGACAGAGAGTATATGGTAACTCAAAGAGGTCGCCATGGATGGAGAGAGCATCCGTACCCTCTTACCGTCGAAGAGTTTAATATATGTTTTCCCCCTCGTGTTCTTTGTTCAGTGGTGTGACTGGCCCGCTCTGTAAAAAGTGTTTAGCTAGATTGACAAAGCTATCCAGAGAGACAGTCTCAGCAAGGCTTACTGGGCTGTTAGAAAACGTCTTGTTTACGACAATACACTGAGCGGTGTGCAACCTGGTATATCTGCTACCATGTGTAGGCCGAAAATAGTTCACCCCTCAGCCATCTAAAAGAATTACAGGTGGGTTATGCTAATATGTATATATTTCTGTCACCAATGTTAATTCATGCAGAATCCTTAATATGTTTTTGTTTTTTGTTTAGACTCGGAAATCTCCGGGTCCCAGACGGTCTGGACTTCACCCGCTTCTCCTCCACCTCCATCTCTGATGGTTCACACCCCACCTCAGACTAAGGGTACTGCACGGTTCCTAGAATACCTTAGAATCGGGGTGCTACATCTGCTGAACAAGGTCTGGGTTAAATACAATATAGAGATCTGCTACGGCTGTCAAACAAATAATCCCAGTCAGAAAAACCATCCGTGTTTATACTCCTGTTTATGGATATGAATAACCTTTAAGTCAATGCAGACCGCATCCAGGGGGGTGCGGAAGTACTTCTTGACGATCTGAAATCTGGAGGCAATGCGGCTGAAAGTATCCAAAAAATGTATGATACATTGATCGGGGAAGATGAACTCAAAATGAACAAACTGAAAAAGCTTGGCAGGTTGTGGGAAGAAGTACCAGTGGCGCATGAAGCGTGGGAGGTACCCGATGATAATGATGATGAGACAGACATTGATGTGTAAAATCAAACATGCTAAGAGGAAAAAAATTAAATGAAATCGAAAATGAAGTGAAAATCTCGTGTTTTTTATAACTGAAAATGTATTTTTGTTTTTTCAATGGGATAAAATACTACTATACTATCAATCTGCTTGTCATATTTTGTACAAGAGAAATAAAATATTTTGTAACGAATGAACGGTCGGTCATTTATACTTTGGTATTATCAGGGAATGGACTCTACTGAAGATTTATTTAGATCCAGGCCATCCGGGAGGTTTAGGCAGTGTGTCTAAACTTCGCAATGCTGGTAGAGAATGAACCGGGCTTTCCGAGGAATAGGGTTTTGGTCAGCGGCATTGACAAACAGTTTCAGGCTGATCTAGTTGATATGGTGGAATATGTTGAGGAAAATTATACTCTGCCTTATTTGCTGACGTGTATCGACGTATTTTCCGAATATTAGATAACAAAGTTAGATAACAAATCTGGCCTCACAGTCACAAAAGCCTTTAAAGACATTCTGAGTGACAGACGCATACCTGTGAAACTTCAAACAGATGAAGGTACAGAGTTTTATAATAAACACTTTCAGCAGTTAATGTCACAGTATGAAATTACACATTTTTCAACATCGAATGAGTCCTAGGCCAAGAATAAAGCCCGCGTCAAGGGGATCGGGGCCGCCGGCTCGTTCAAGATGAGCAAGTCGAACGCGGACGAACCGGGCAAAGAAAGCCGCTCCTAAAGCCAAAAAGCCTGCAGCGAAGAAACCCGAAGCGGCCAAAAAGCCCAAAGCAGCGGCAGTGAAGAAAGTTGTAGCCACTAAGAAGTCACCAAAGGCAAAGAAACCCGCAGCGGCCAAGAAGATGGCCAAGAGCCCCAAAAAGGTGGTGAAAAAGGCCCCTGCAGCAAAGAAAACTCCAGTGAAGAAGGCTGCTAAGCCCAAAGCCAAGAAAGCAGCACCCAAGAAGAAGTAAACTGATATCAGTCTGAAGAACCAACACTTCTATAAAAGGCTCTTTTAAGAGCTACCCAATCCATCTTGAAGAGATTTTCTGTATATTTCTACATTTTAGCAGATATAGATCATAGATATTTGTGTGATGCAGCTTATAAATGTGCACGTTTGTAAATGTATGAACTCTGTTGGTTCCAGACAGATTGACTACATGAACCATTAATGTGACACTTTCATCGGGCTGATTTCAGTCTGAAGAACACTTCTATAAATGTGTGCCTCTTAAAAGAGCAGGGTCATTATTATTGTGCCATATATATATAAAAAATGTATTAGCACAATTGAAAATGTAGGGCTACATTATTTGAGAATAAACTCATGTCAGTTCAAAATCGCCTGACAACAGAGCTGCAAAGCTTCATGTGTAGACAGAAGGGCAAAAAAGATTATAAATAAAAAGTAAAGATTTATATCTTTATACAATGAGAGCAGAAATAGAATTAATTCAAAACGAAAAATAAAAGGGTTATACATAAGCACCAGGAAGTAGCCTTCAGAGGTAGAGAGGTGGCTCTTAAAAGAGCCGTTGTTGAGAGTAGAATCAGGGTGTTTAAGCTCGTTCCCCGCGGATGCGACGGGCCAGCTGGATGTCTTTGGGCATGATGGTGACCCTCTTGGCGTGGATGGCGCACAGGTTGGTGTCCTCGAACAGGCCCACCAGGTAAGCCTCGCTGGACTCCTGCAGAGCCATAACGGCGGAGCTCTGGAAGCGCAGGTCGGTCTTAAAGTCCTGAGCGATTTCTCTCACCAGACGCTGGAAGGGCAGCTTGCGGATCAGCAGCTCCGTGGACTTCTGGTAGCGACGGATCTCTCTCAGAGCCACGGTACCGGGCCTGTAACGGTGAGGCTTCTTCACGCCACCGGTGGCAGGGGCGCTCTTACGGGCAGCCTTGGTGGCCAGCTGCTTCCTGGGGGCTTTGCCTCCGGTGGACTTACGGGCGGTCTGCTTGGTTCGTGCCATGATAGACTCGTCTCGCTCTGGTCAAGAGAAGTGAACTTTCAGAGGAGACACGCGGCTCTTAAATTGTGGACCGGCTGAGGAGCGGTGACGCTGATTCAGACCTCCGGCCCCTGATTGGTGGAGGACTCCTCCTGGAGCTCAGCCGCGACTCTACAAGGGAGTCTTCGCTGCTCATTGGCGGAAAACGATTTCAAACTTTCCGCCAAAAACTGTGAGCTCGCGCCCTCTGTCTTCGCGCCTTGAGCCTCTTCTCTGGTTGGTGCGCGTGTCAGGAACCGTCCCGCCCGCTCCGCGGACATATAAAGCAGGGTTTGACGCGTTCAGAGACACTTCCTTCACTGAAACAGTCGAGCGGCAGAGGTTAAACCTGTGGAAAGGCCCGAGCGAATGCAAAGTCCAAGTAGTGATGGAGGCCTCCATCTACCACAAAGGCTCTTTCAAGAGGCACCCACACATCTGTAGAGAGCCGTTATCCTCATACATTGTCTATTATGTGGTCCTATTTATTAAGGTTATCCTGATAAAGTCACACAACTTCAGAATCACCTCACAACCTACTATTGTATCATGTAGAAAGGACACTACTGCAGCTGAAGCATGAAACTGTTTTAAATCAGACACACCTAAAGTTGTCTAATAGAGATTAGTTTAGCATGTCCTCAAACTATTAATGTATCTCGCATGTTAGAAGGCTACTAGACACCACTGCAGCTTATTCCTCAATAAATAAACCTCAAACCGGAAGCATTTTTATCAACAAGGTAAACTGTTTTAAAGACTGTTTTCTTATGCTTCTACTCACCAACATGATTAGATAATAGATTGATTGTGATGAATGTATAGATCAGAAGCTCAGAAGATAAATCATGCGCAATCATACATACACAAAATGCGAAACAGAACATTTCATTAAATCAATAAATAAAATCATGAATAAACATTAAGGTTAATCATAATGTTGCAGTTGTAGCTGCCACAAAGTTACCGAAGAATGCCAAGAAACCTGCAGCTGACAAGAAGGTAGCCAAGAGCCCAAAGAAGGTGGTGAAAAATGCCTCTGCAGCCAAGAAGGTTTGAAAATGAAATTCATCATATTCGCACACGTTAGCACGGAATTTCTCAAAAGTAATTTACTAGCAGTTTGACAGCATTAATGTTGATCACAGACAAAAAAGCACAAACTCTGGTTGTGACTGACAGAAATGGACGCAAACTAAGATGATACATTTAGTGCGGAATTTCACATTGTGATGTTACATCCAAACAAATGAATCGGCGGCATCAGAATAGGCCCAAAATTAAATGTTGAATGAACTTTTGTACTATTACTTCAGTTTTAATTTAAACATTTATAATTTCACAAATTTTCAGTGAGAAACGGTAAAATACAAATATTCAATGTAACATGCAACTGCAGAGGATACATAAAAAGATAAGTATAAGCAAACTAAATACATATAAACATTTCTAAATCTACTTATTATAATGAATATAAAGAAAAAAGAAAAAAACAGATTATGCAATTAAATAATATGTTTCACGTGTAGTTTTTACTTAAATTGGAGGATCGAGGTAGCATCACAATCCATGTGACACCAAAGTATTCTAATAATTTTCTAAGAAATGTGTTCTCAAAGTATGATGAGGTAAGTCTTTGAAATAGGACAGTGATGTTTTAACACTAATGTTGTACAGTCAAATCTGATTAAAACACTTGATTTAATCAGGAAGCAACAGACCGTGTGCATGTTTACCCACATTATCAAGTGTGTTTACTACTACAAAGTCAGTGATTACAGTAAGCCTACACATGTCCCAACTCTTAGCTAACAACATGGACAATATGGTTTGTAATCTAATTTCACACCTAATTGCAGATTTTAGTCCAAAGTAAATGCAAATGTAAAAATGTCAACATTTTTCTGAGTGGTTTCAAAAGATATGTTACAGCAGAGTTACAACACGGCCCACTGAGGTCATTAGAGAAAAATTATTTAATTTAATAAAACCCACACAACTTGACATACAATTGGAGAAATTTTACTTCAGAAGAAAAGAAAGTTAATGTATGCATTGATATGTATTATGCTATTGTTTGAGTACACAGGCTGATGGAAAACAATGTAAACAGCAAGACAAATAATACAAAAAATTGGGGACAGCAAGCAGGCCTATCAAACTCCCAAATATGTGATTGAAGTGTGTTTGAGTGAGGCCGGCTCATATATATGAGCTACGTACCTCATTGTTATGACAATTTACAGATGATAACTTCGGATGCGAGGCACCGCTCCAACGCGAAGTGCTGACGGTAAATGAAGAATTGACCAGCAGAGGGAGCTCAATGACCTGATAAGATGTGTCTTAGCAAAATGCCACATCAGCACAGCACAAATTGATTTTTTGTTTCTGTATGCAAAGGCCAAATTCCAGGGCTCGTTGGTCTAGGGGTATGATTCTCGCTTAGGGTGCGAGAGGTCCCGGGTTCAAATCCCGGACGAGCCCTTTCTTTTTAATTCATTTTATTTTGTGTAGCCTAAATTTGCAAATTACAAATTTGTCTCAGAGGGCTTTACAGTCTGTACACATGCAACATCCTCTGTCCAGAAATCCTCACATCGGCACGCTCCCTCAAAAAATAAGAACAACACTGATGGGGAAAAAAAAAAAAAAACTCAGGGAGAACAGCAGAGGATGGGATCCCTCTCCTGGGACGGACTACAAGGGATGTCATGTGTACAAAAAGACCTAAATGATTTACAATACATTCAATTCCTATGACATAAAAAAACTCAAAATAATATTAATCACAGGCTACATGTGAAATTAAGGGAAGACTTGACATCCATGGAATCTTGATGTTTTTTGGCATCAGCCAGAGCCAGGATTAGAAGGTGGAGCTAAATCAATCCAGGTGTACATAGCTGGGATAAGTGCGCGTTTCTTGAATAGACCACAGAAATCGACCACAGATTTACTGATGCAAAAGGAAAAACGGCAGCTGTAATTTAACAGAGAGAAAAATCCTGGCAAACAATCGCGGAAAACTATCTACTTAGTATCTATGTATGTAATGTGTATATATATATATATATATATATATATATATATATATATATATATATATATATATACACACACACATTTATACATCCATCCATCCACAAACCGCTTATCCTGCACACAGGGTCGCGGGGGGGCTGGAGTCTATCCCAGCCAACTTCAGGCAATAGACAGGGTACACCCTGGACTGGTCACCAGCCAATCACAGGGCTACACAGAGACATACAAACATTCACACTAACAGTCACCAACGTGATCTCCAAAACCTGTTCGTAAAAATGTATACGAAAATCTTGAACATACAAATTCGTAACAATACATACGAACTGGCTGTGGTTAACCACGCCCCTTGAGTGAACAACATGGCGGACCATGTTGGATTCTTGAGTGAACGTCTCTCCGCCATGTTGGATTTTTTGAGGAGGTTAGGGTTAGTATTGTATTCTTACAAGTTAACATTGATTTCTCGTTCATAATGCAATCATAACACGTTTATTTTACACCGTTAGACTTCACGAAGTGTGTTTACGGGGTGCAGGTCCCCATTCACTTTGAATAGGGTGACGTCATCAGTTGCAGTCCGTATTTATTTAGTATGTATCACTACGAATTTGTATGTTCAAGAATTTCGTATACATTTTTACGAACAGGTTTTGGAGATCAGACTGCTTTCACACACCTACGAGCAATTTAGAGTTACCAATCAACCTGATCCCCAGAGCATGTCATTGGACTGTGGGAGGAAGCCGGAATACCCAGAGAGAACCCACGCAGACACGGGGAGAACATGCAGACTTCACACAGAAAGGCCACTGGGCGGAGTCGAACGCAGGACCTTCTTGCTGTGAGGCAACAGCGCAAACCACCACGCCACCGTGCCACCCAGATACAAATATACAAGCAAAAATCAAATCAATATAAATGGATGAGATGAAAGAAGGTGAGCCAATTGCCTGCAGGGGATTGCACCGCAGATGACTCTCAGTTTTGTATCTGTATCACTTTAAAATTTAAATACGTTGAGATGGAGAAAATGAAACAATTATAAAATCACTAGACCTCATCAATGCTTTAGATGGTTAACCCCCCTCTGGACTGTCATATCGTTGAGAAACCTTAATGAAACCTTTAAGTATAATGCTTGTTTTACTAAAACACGTAATCAACAATAAAACACACTACTCACCACCAAGGTGTTCCATCGTCGCTCAGGGTGGCAAAATAGGATCCTTGTAGACAGAGTATCTAAAACTCTCTGTAACACATTTTTGTTGTTATGTAGCAACTCCAACATATTGCAGTTCAAACGACATCTGTAAGGCTTTTTGGAACATTATTTTCTGAATTCAATAATTGTGATAAAAATTACTTTGGCCACCATAGTTTATATGATATTGCTGTTGTTCTAATAAAACAATGTTTAACATGTAGTAATGTCCACGTTTTGCTCCACAACATGAAATTCTGCACATGAATCATTGCCATTACAAAGGAAAAGGTAATTAAATCCCTTCAGACCTCTGTTCACAACATAGATACCTATTGTCATATGTATTATTCAGTATGTAAACCAAACCATGTAAACCAAAGGTAAATTTATAGTTTGACACAAAAACATGTTTTGTAAGATATATTTTTACATTCATTAGTCTACTTCAGCCACGTCTCCAACAAAGCAATGCACTGGACCTGAAGAGTTTCTGGTCACATCAACATTGTCTCTTAAACAGACTAGAATGAATAAACTCTCATATTTTTGGCGATTATATTCTGCTATTGTGTTGCTGTGACTGGAAACAAAGTTAATAGCAAAAGTTAAAGCTTTAAAGTCTCTCCTGGTTCATGTCACCATGTTTAACTGGTGTGATAAGTTAATAATAATAATAATAATACATTTTATTTATAACGCACTCTTCATTAACAGATTTGAGTGCCACAGAGATGGAAAAACATATACCCATCCCCATCACATGGGCCGTCTACAGAACCATTTAACCATCAATAATCACTAATTTAACCAAGACGTTATATCGAAGGGGGGATTTTAAATGCAACAGAAATTTTCTTAGAGTTATACATTCTGATCTCATTAATTTCTAAGGGGGTTTTGTCTTTCCTTGAATTATTTTTAGTCAGGAAATCGCTTTTTTACATCCCTGGAGCAAATTAGTCTGCTCTTAAGAACAGTGTTCCTTTTTGCGCATGCTCTGTTCATCACAAGGAGATAACCAATCCAGTGGTCGAAACAGCACAGCGAAATTTGCATCAGGTTTTTATATATACATCGTTCTGCTTTTGAATATAATTATCCTACTACTCCCAAGCGTCAGCAATCATGCCTGATCCACCCACCGTCAAAGCGCCCAAGAAGGGCTCCAAGAAAGCCGTCTCCAAGGCCGTCACCAAGGGCGGCAAGAAGAGGAGAAAGTCAAGGAAGGAGAGCTACGCCATCTACGTGTACAAGGTGATGAAGCAGGTCCACCCCGACACCGGCATCTCCTCCAAGGCCATGGGCATCATGAACTCGTTCGTGAGCGACATCTTTGAGCGCATCGCCGGTGAAGCCTCTCGTCTGGCTCACTACAACAAGCGCTCCACCATCACCTCCAGGGAGATCCAGACCGCTGTGCGCCTGCTGCTGCCCGGCGAGCTAGCGAAACACGCAGTGTCTGAGGGAACTAAGGCCGTGACCAAGTACACCAGCTCCAAGTAAACCTGATGTAGACCACCAACACAAAGGCTCTTTTAAGAGCCACCCACTTCTTCTAAAGACAATTACCCTATGCTTGTACTTCAAAAGGATTACAAGATATTATTTTATGTGGAATAAGTTAATTAAGCCTATACGTGGTAAACGGAAGTTTTATATAAACTAGTTGATGACTGTTTGCAGCATTGTTACAACGTCTACATTTATGGGGAATACATAATTTTTAAGTTAATGCAGCAGATCAAAACTCCTTCAGTATTATACAATTCTGCTCTTTTGCGGGCCGTGACAATCAGCAGATTCTTACCTAGAATTTAGTCATGCATTTACAAATGTGCATACGTGGACTGTCTGGTATTGATTAAAAAAGGAAAAGCTCCTTAAGGATTGGGTGGCTCTTAAAAGAGCCTTTTATAGACGCGTTGGTTCTTCCGACTGACAACAGCTTACTACTTCTTTGGTGCTGCTTTCTTGGCTTTGGGCTTAGCAGCCTTCTTCACTGGAGCCTTCTTGGCTGCAGGGGCCTTTTTCACTACCTTCTTTGGGCTCTTGGCCACCTTTTTGGGGCTCTTTGCTACCTTCTTGGGGCTCCTGGCCACCTTCTTGGCCGCTGCGGGTTTCTTTGCCGCCATCGGTGACTTCTTGGCGGCTACAACTTTCTTCACTGCGGCTGCTTTGGGCTTTTTGGCCGCTGCGGGCTTCTTGCCTTTAGGAGCGGCTTTCTTTGCCGGTTCGTCCGCGGTCGTCTTGCTCATCTTGAAGGAGCCGGAGGCCCCGATCCCCTTGATCTGGACCAGAGTCCCCTTGGCCACCAGGCTCTTGATGGCGGTCTTGACGCGGGCCTTGTTCTTGTCCACATCGTATCCTCCGGCGGTCAGAGCCTTCTTGACGGCGGTAGCAGACACGCCGCTCCGCTCCTTGGATAAGGCCACAGTTTTCACCATGAGGTCAGAGACGCTGGGACCGACCTTCTTCGGCTTGGACACCTTCTTGGTTGCTTTGGGCGCGGCAGCGGCGGCTGGAGCTACTTCTGCCATTTTGTCGTGTTGTGTGTTTGTATCGTCGAGGACTCGAGAGTGTGAGACTGATTGAAGATCTCAAAGCGGCGGACTACACTTAAACGCACCATGAGAACCGTAGAGACTCAACCCAGCCCGGCGCTCCTCGTGCAGTCTGAAAGTCGAGTCACTTGTGGTTTCTCTCCACTGATTAAGGACTAAAAACTAAATGCATCGAGTTGAGAAGGCTGAAGGTGGAGCAGCCGATAGCGGACTAGTTTCTCTTCATGTTCAGGTCACGTAGAGCTCTGATGATCGATGCGTTTTGTTTGAGGAGCCTCCAAACCTAACCTACTCGGTGCCGTGGACAGCAATGATCAGAGGCTTTCCCCACTAATTTCTCTCTTAAAAGTATTTAAAATGAATCATATCTCCATCAAAGGTTTCTTTGCAACTGATCCACATGTTTGTTCAAGGTCTCAATATAAAAACAACCATTAGATGCTCATCAGTTTTTAATAAACTGGAGTTAATCTGGTTCCAGCAAACACACTGATGGTGGAGGCTTATGGTGCGGTTCATTCAGACTCCTTGTCAGAGCTGCTACCTGGATATCTCCACTACTGATAACACGTTTTATTTTATATAGTTCAACTCATAATCACCAAACATACTGAAAAACATTGGTTTCCGTTTTTTTAAGCTTGAATGCTGCAGTATCACTGTTTTAGTAACATTCATTGTGCTGATGAATTAAGTCAGCACAGAAGTAAAGTTACACTGTTATGAACATAACTTATTAATCATTGCTGTAGCTATCATTAATTGAACAAATGAAATATATTCAAACATTCAAAGATATTTGGTCCCAGTGTGTGAAAAATCATCCTAGAAGTGGAACGTTTCTGGCCAAACTGTTTAGAAAAGGCAATGAAACCCAGAAAGACTGTATTGAGCAAACACTGCAATTTCATAATGCTAATGATATGTTCAGCAGCACCTTGCATGATGTTTGGATTTCAACATGTCCTTAAACTGTAATTTGAGCTCTGGATTCAACACAATACAAATAACACTTTAGATGTTTTTGAGATTAGAAATCAGACTCAGATCTGAAATCGATTAATTCCATAGAAGGTCAACTGTAAGAAGATGCTTAGATATTTGACTAGGATGTTGCTGGACATCACAGTCTGCTCGATGGTAGTTCATCCTGCATAGCCTCAAACTTACCATAGGGAGTCGTAAATGTTATTTTAGTTCTATATGTGGTGTAAATTTGTGGATCAAGCCCTTGTGAGGAATCAAAAGTATTTTGAACTCTCTTTGTGACTAAATATTTATTACTAAGGAAAATAATAAAGAATACAGAAATCAACACAAGCCGTAAGTACAGACAGAAATCAAATGATTAAAATTAGGCTGAAAAGGGGCAGATTGTTCCTTCTCCCTCAGCAGTTGAAGATCTGACCAAGCTTCTGGGGTAGACCAGGAGGTTTTATACACTTCCATGAGGTTTGTGTTGTTTCAACACAGGAGAGCCCCCCCCCGTAAGGAAAGCTACCAGACGACGTAGGGGAGACACCCGTGACCCTCCCTTAATGGGACCCAGTCAATCAGTAACATTTATGGACCATTCAAGGCACCTATCTTCCAAACGGGATGCCATCGTGAACTAGGTCAGGTCACGAGTTTCCCAAGAAAGGTCACACACACAGAGTTCTTGAGAGATTCACAATGTGCAGCTTAACACCCTCTCTCAGCACCATACACCACATGAAGAAAACCTTTTATTATATTATCTATTTTATTTATTCAGGGGTGCTTTTATTAAGCGGAGGAGGAAAAGCTGATGATGCAAATAAGAAGTGACTTCAACAGAATAGGATTTAACGTTTTGGAAAGGACCAGGCAGAACCTAGGCCCAAAACCATTTGAACATATTTGGGCTGATCTGAAGAAGGCAATCCACCGGGTAGTTCGGGTGGAAGCGAGGTGGATATGCGGGAGGGCAGTGAGAAGTCGGACAATGAGGAGGGAGAAATGCATGCGGGTAATAAGGTGAAGTGGAAGGTGAAGAATGAGAAGAAACGTAGTAGGAAAGACGGGGAGTCAATGTCGGATGGGGATGACCAGAGGGGTGCGGAGAGAACGAGAAGGGATAAGAGGCGAGAGCAGGTGGAGGAATGGAAAGTTATGGCTGTGTTCGATGAGCCTACGAGGAAAGTGCTGAATCCGATAGCATTATCTAAAGCTATTGAAGCAGAGGTGGGACATGTTAGAGATGCGAGGTGTGTTGGGCATGGGAGAGTGTTGATTTTTGCTGTTAATTGGGCGCAGCAAGGCAAGAGGCAAGTTAATGGCGTTGACGTCGCTGAATGGAGCGAAGGTGAAGTGTCACGTACCGGGTGGAAGGGCTAAGAGCAGGGGGGTGATTACGGGGGTACCGCTGGATTTAACAATGGAGGAATTCAAGAAAGAAGTAAAGGGAGGACGGGTAGTGGAGGCAAAACGAATGACAAATAAAAACAAAGGGAACGGAGAGGAGAGCCCTAGTTTGATGGGCATATACCCAGTAGAGTGTGTCTGGGGTATGTGAGCTACTTTGTGAGGGAGTATGTGCCGGCGCCGCTAAGGTGCTTCAAGTGTCAACGCATGGGGCATGTGGCCCGTGTGTGTAAGGGGCAGTGTCGGTGTGCTAAATGTGGGGGCCCACATGAGTATGGGAAATGTGAAGCACAGGCTAAAATAAGGTGTTGTAACTGCGGCGGGGAACATAGTGCGGCATATGGGGGGTGTATTGTGCAGAGAAAGGAGTCAGAGGTACAGAGATACAAGATAGTAAATAAGGTAACATATGCAGAGGCAGCAAGGAAAAGCCAAGGCAGCAGGAGGGAACAAGAAATAAGGGCTCAGGAACAGCCAGGGGTGATCACAGGAAGAGGGGAAGGGCAGGTGGTTCAGTTACAGAAGAGACACTGGTGGTGAAACGGGTGGATTTTTTGGCATTTATGTGTCATATTCTTAATATGAGTGAACAGGTTAAGAAAAAGTCGGCCTGGATTGAGATTGTTGTTAGGGCTGCTAAGGAGTTTATGGGGATTATGGAAGTAAAAGGGGAAATGTTACATGGGATGTTGGCACAGCCCAAGAGTGGGGATGTGGATAGCAGTAGTATATGATGTCACTGGTGCTGTTACAATGGAATGCAAAAGCTTAGTAGCTAACGGGCAGGAGTTTAAGAGATATGTATATGGGTTAGATGTAGTGCCAAATGTAATTTGTGTGCAGGAAACGTGGCTAAAACCAATGCTAGAGTTTGCAATTCCAGGGTTTCATGGTGTAAGGAAGGATAGGATAGAGGGTGTAGGTGGGGGATGTGCTACGTTTGTTGAGGACGGACTGGCATACAGAGTAGTGGAGGTAAATGATGCAGAGTGTGTCGGGATAGAGGTGTGCAGGAATGAAGGCGGCATAGTGGTGTTACATTTTTATAACCCTTGTAAGCCTCTAAGTGCAGAGCAGCTAGATGTAATGGGTAGGTGTGGTGGGGGTGGAAAGATGATTTGGTGTGGGGACTTTAATGCACATAATGAGATATGGGGAAGTGGACACACGGATGGTAATGGGGCAGTGGTGGAGGAATATATGGAGGGTTGTCGGATGGTATGTGTTAATGAGGGGGGGCGGTACTAGGGTAAATATAGGGAAAGGGACTGAATCCTGTTTAGATCTAATGTGGGTGTCTGCGTCTATGGCAGGGAGGTGTGAGTGGCGAGTGATGAGAGACTCCACTGTAGGGAGTGATCATTACCCTATTGTTTGTAGGTTTGAGGCTGGTGTGTGTATGCAGAGCAGAGGGCATGGCAAGAGGTGGTGTTTTGAGAAGGCTGATTGGATCAAGTTCAAGTACTTGTGTGAGAGGGAAGGACGGAAGTTGACGATGGAGGGATCAGTGAATGAATGTGCTCAGGAACTGACAAGTATGCTAGTGGCAGCAGCAGAGGTGGCTATTCCAGTCAGTAAGGGAGGTGGTAGGAGGAGGGTGGTACCGTGGTGGACTGATGAATGTTCCAAAAGAAGAACTAAACAGCAGATGGCGGCAACCGGCTTTTTTTAATGCGCCCGGTCTTTTTCTGCCAAAAGCGTGACACCCTCACCCCAAATGTCTCTGCACTCTGTGTCCACTTTTCTCTTTTTTTGACAGAGTTTTCCAAGAAAAATTAACCACATCCTATTTTTTTACAACGGTAACTGGAAAAGCCGTGTGTTTGTTGTGTTCGCAGCAATTTTCTGTGCTCAAGACTAATATTCGGCGCCACTATGAGACTCGCTTGAAAGGAAAACTGAGAACAGAGAAGATAAATGACCTACTTGCAAGTCTAAAGAAACAACAGTTCGTTTTTACCCGGAGCCGAGAGACAAGTGAGGCAGCAGTGAAAGCTAGCTACCTGATTGCTAACGAAATAGCATCAGCCTCAAAGCCATACTGTGAGGGTGAGTTCGTGAAAACATGCATGCTGAAGGCTGCAGAAATCGTGTGCCCCGAGAAGCGACAGGCTTTTGCCAACATAAGCCTAACGAGGAATACTGTGACGGATAGGATTGCCGATCTTTCAGCGGATTTGTATAGCCAAAAGAAGCATAAAGTCAAGTCATTTGTAGCATTTTCAGTTGCAATCGATGAGAGCACTGACATTACAGATGTTGCTCAACTGGCCATATTCATTCGTGGTGTTGATGAGACTTTGGCGGTCACCGAGGAGTTCCTTGAGTTGGTACCTATGACAGACACCACTACAGCGAAGGACATTTTTAGCGCTGTCGTTGAAGCGCTGGACCGGGTCGGAGTGGACTGGACCCGTGCTGTCAGTGTGGCTACAATAATCAGTGAGTTGACCTACTTCATGTAACATAAGGCTTCAGACACTTTTGCATCCTGAAGAACACAGTTTTGTGAAAATGAAAACACTGTTAAAATATTTGACACTGAACATTGTGCAATGTAATGTCAATCAGCAGCTTCAGTACAAAAGAGTTTGGCTTTTTATTCTATATTTTCAAGGCAAGAGAGGTGACTTACTTAATAACTCCCACGTTTGCTTGTATTTTGTGGTGAGTCAGTTCAGGTGTACAGATAACTACACAGATGTGGAAATGTTAGTTAGTACATTTAAAATGTTTTTTTAGATCTTGAAGTTCATTTTGTTATAAAGTCATAAATATATAATATATAATATATAAAGTCACAATATTTTTCAATTCCAAATACCTGACTAAATGTTTTGCTCTGTAGATCAACTGTGATCCTGAAGTTGTAATGCACATAAACTGAAAGCACAGTATGGTGAATGCACTGTTTTCTATATATTCAGTTTATGAGTACAAACGTTTGTCATTTTTTTTAATTGATCCAGTAATGCTTCAAAACAGCGTAAATGCGATGTCTGCTCCAAAGTCGAGGGAATCTGCAGAGGAGAGCCGAGGCAGATAAACAGTGGGCTGATGTCTTGAGTTTTTGCTCTTTATGTTTCTAGTTTATGGTAGAAAGACCTAAAACTAGGGTTTATCATCCAAAAACATTCACCAATGATTTAAAGATAGAGAAATATTGTCGTTGTGTATGCGTTATTTTGCCATGATTTTACTGGTCTGGCCCACTTGAGATCAAAGTGGGCAGTATGTGGCCCCTTAACTAAAATGAGTTTCACACCCCTGCTATAGACCTTGTGTACTCCATCATTACATGGACTCCCCAAGGATGAACTGGACATCTAATATTCAATTCAGCTTTTTATTATTGAATGTATATTTATGAAGTGGAAAATAATATTTGAAGGTCAATAAACATTTAAAAAGTTTCAGTTGATGTTTACAATGTATCCATTGATTTGATATTTATTTTTACAGGTCTTTAACATTGGGGACCACTATTGGAAAAACGATTTGAACCCTTTGAGTTTATCTGACAATATACTCTTAGAAAACAATGGTTTTGGTGATCAACGCTGCCGCATTTTGAAGTAGGACAGCCACCATGAGCACTGGGAAAAAAAATTCTAAATCTTTATTATATTCAAAATATATTTAAAAAATAGTCAATATGTGTATTCTTGTGCTTTTGAAACAGATTATATACACCTGGTAATATTTGTAAATTAAGATATCTGTGCAAAATATATATACTTTTCCTGCCCGGCGTCTCTGCATGTCTCAGCTGGGCTCGGGCCGGGTCCCAAAGCAGTGGGTCTAAGAAGCAGTTAGCCAATCACTGATGAAGTTAATTAGTGACATTATAATTTCAGCGTGCTAAAGTACATTGAGATTTGGGAAAAGCCCTTCGCCACCCTACGCTGCGCTCTCGTCAGGGCAAGTCTTTGACTGGAAGAGTGACCCCCGGCAGCGAATGCGAATTATGTCAATTATCAATTATTTCAAGTAATTACTGTTCAATTTTAGAAATGTTAAACACATCAGGAAACAACCACACACTAAATCTACAAACTGGAGCAGATAAGGAAAATGAGTAGCAATAAATTATCAATTTATCAAGTATGGAAGAAACATTTAACATAAATCCATCTAGAATGAACCATTTATGTACATATTTTTGACTGTTAACTGACGACTCACGAATGAGAATTTTATTATCTAAACCTGATGCTCAATGCTGAGAACAAATTGATAATCTTATTAGTATTTACTAGTTTAGTAAACCGCAGATGTTAGTGAAAGTTTGGTGTCCACCAATTATATGATGAATCAACTTAAATACATAAGAGGTATTCCCTGTATTCAAACCTTTAAATGTTTTAAAACACAAGCATAGAGAAACTGTCTCCCGTGAAGAAGGCTGCTGAGCCCAAAGCAAAGAAAGCAGCACCCAAGAAGTAATCAGTCTGACGAACCAAAGCCTCTATAAAAGGCTCTTTTAAGAGCCACCCAATCCTAAACAGCTTTTATCTTTTTAAACATTTAAGTTTTAGTCAGCAAGACCATTCTACAAAGAAACATTGTATAATACATCTTACTTATTCGTCACTCAGGTCTTGCGTAAAGTAGAAAACAAGAAGCCAAAATTACCATTTACTTACATGTTTTTGACTGTCACAGCCTGCGAAAGAGCATCAGATTATCAAAACCTTTATATTATCTAATGCTACCATCAACTGGTATTTAACCAATGAAGGAACACAATCCTTCAAACTGAAAACAAAGGTGACAATTTTGTTAGTTTATATTAAACAGCAGATGTTGGTGAAAGTCTGGCTTCCACAACATATTGCTGAATCAAGTTAAATACATAGAAAACATGCATTCCTATGCAATCATCTATTTATAAGAATGTTTTGAAAGACAGGCACAATGTTATATATTTAACATTTGTATTCAATATGAGTTGTGGCTCATTTAAAATGTCAAATCCTTATTTTGCATTCAGTAATCTTGCCTGTATGTTTTCCTGTTCCGTTGCTCTAAAAGTGAATCCATCTACCTCCTTCAGCTGTAGTGTCCTTTCTACGTGAAGTTGTGTGACTTTATTAGGATAACCTTAATAAGTAGGACCACATAATAGACAATGTATGAGGATCACAGCTCTCTACAGACGTGTGGGTGGCTCTTAAAAGAGCCTTTGTGGTAGATGGAGGCCTCCATCTCTACTTGGACTTGGCGGGCTTCTCAGTCTTCTTGGGCAGGAGCACCGCCTGGATGTTGGGCAGCACGCCGCCCTGAGCGATGGTCACTCCGCCAAGCAGCTTGTTGAGCTCCTCGTCGTTGCGGACAGCCAGCTGCAGGTGACGGGGGATGATGCGGGTCTTCTTGTTGTCGCGGGCAGCGTTTCCAGCCAGCTCCAGGATCTCAGCGGTCAGGTACTCCAGCACGGCCGCCAGGTAGACGGGGGCTCCTGCGCCGACACGCTGCGCATAGTTCCCTTTACGCAGATGTCTGTGGACGCGACCGACTGGGAACTGGAGCCCAGCACGAGAGGAGCGGGTCTTTGCCTTCGCTCTGGCTTTGCCACCGGTTTTACCTTTGCCGCTCATTGTTAGACGGTTTCAGTGAAGGAAGTGTCTATGAACTCGTCAAACCCTCCTTTATATGTCCGCGTTTCTGAAATTAATGCTGATGGATGATAGACTACGACTAGGTATTGATACAGTAGTATTTTTAAGACCTATTACCTACGTTTCAATTCATAATGTCAATTCATGGAATTCTATATTCATTCCTGATCAAAATCAATCAATATTATATTCGAAAAATAGACTAAATTTAACAATCTTTACCTCACAAAATCTTCAAGTAAGTATTGCTGTCACGCCAAAACCAAACTGAATGTGTTTAAATAAACAGGTGACACGTTCAGTAAATCCACAAATGATCTGCGTTTATTTAAAGTAAAAATAAAACAAAGGCAGCTTTAAAGTACAAATGCGTGAATATTGTAATGGAAATCTTAGGTTTGCTGCCCCTTTAGCTGGCTCGTTGTTGTTCTTTGCCATCAGGCACAGGTGGGAGTGATGTTTCGACGCAGACACACAAAAGATTTTCCAGCGATGATTGTGGTTGAGGTTTGTAATTTATTGCAGGCAATTGTATAAACAGATGAACATAGCGGTTGAACGTGCTCCTATTGATGGTGGTCTGGTGAGAACTGTCTGGTGCTCCCCTACCTGTGCCCTCCCTTCCTGTCACCTGCGTCCCTTATGTACACCCATGTGCACCTAATCACCGCCACCTAGTGTCCAAAGTGTCAATATAAATACTAACAAACAAAATATACTTTGCCAACAACAACCCATAATGGTCCCTACAAATATATTACATGTTTTGCGAACAGTTTCATATATACAAGTAAAGTGGTTTTGGCAACTTTTAGTTTTGGACATCTCCGACCGCCCGTGAAGGCACCACTAGAGCTCTGAGCAGCAGTGATGTCATCAGAGCAGCAGGAAAGCAGAGACTTTAGTTAGTCGGCTTTGAATTGTCAAATTTGATAGGAACCACTGGACCATCCTACGACAGGAAAGGAGATAATTGCGTCGGAAATATTTAAACAGTGACGTATCATTCGGCCGTTCACAAGAACTAACGATCATGGACCGAAAAATGCAGATTATGTAAGCAGCCGTTAGCATAACTAATTCATATTCCAACAGCGTTAATAAAGTGATACTTTGACCCGGTTGTTTATATCGTCTGCATGACCCAGCACTTTAACAACACGTCGGCGAAGGCATCTAAGATGCTTCCTTTTAGTCCATCTTTGGAATAATTGTAGTTTCGCCGCTCCTGACTGACCTCGCTAACATGCGTCTCCCGTTGCATTATAACTTAAGAGGTCATCTTTTAGACGATTCGAATCCAGCCACACCTTAAGATTCATCAAACATGTTTTCCTGTTGCAGGTAACTTCACTTCCTGGTTGTGAAGTTAGACACGTGATTGGCAGAGAGCGCTGAGGGCGAAGCAACCAGACTGCGCATGCTCAGAAAACAGCGGAAGAGCAGAGAAAACTCTACTTCAGTAAACACACTTTCTTCATCAGGTAGTACATGTTCCTTAATGTACCTTTTCACTTACTATTGACTAATACTTGTAATTCAGAGATGGGGGGTCAGACATCCTCCATGGAAGGCGTCCACGTCGTGGTTGTTGGTGGTGGATTCGGGGGCATCGCGGCAGCTCAGCATCTGAAGGCTGGAGGACTGAGCTTCACTCTCATCGACATGAGAGACGCTTTTCACCACAACGTGGCCGCACTCAGAGCATCGATTCAACCGGGTACACCACTAGTAATATGGCAGTCATTTGGTATTGTTTGTTCCTATGAGCATTCAACTCCTTTGTTTATTTTACATTGCATTTTTTATCAGGAATATTAATGTACTGTTTTTATTAATTCAAAATAGCTGTCTGGATTTATTTTTATTTAATTTTCTGGGTTAAATATATATTTATGATTTTGTTGCATTTTACTTTCACTTAAAGTTTTACATATCCAAAAATAGATACATGTAATAAAATGATCATGTGACCTTTGACCCTGTGTCGGCCTACAGGGTTTGCCCAAAGGACCTTCATCCCGTACAAGGAGACGTTTAGAGAGACTTTTGTCCAGGGACGAGTTCAGAGGATTGATACTGAGAAACAGACGGTTGTCCTGGAGGGAGGGAGGGTAAGGATGTGGGGGGGGAAGATGTATATAAAAATATAAGCTTGTGAGCACAAACAGGAGAAAGTTATTTTACGTCGTACTAAGACCGCAACCCGCCCACCTACATTTTGTTTTGCCTCCTCCCCCGGTTCAGGAGATCGAGTACTCCCACCTCATCCTCTGCACTGGGACTGATGGAGCCTTCCCAGGGAAGTTCAACACTGTGGCGTCGTACCAGAGTGCCGTCCAAGCGTACGAGGACTTCGTAAAACAGGTGGGACGATGGGGCGAATGCTGGGAGGTCTGCAGAGACAAAGGAGCGCTGACACCCCCACTCCCTTTTTGTTTGTTCAGGTCCAGGCTGCAGACTCAGTCTTGGTGATCGGAGGAGGGTCGACCGGTGTGGAGATGGCTGCTGAGATAAAGACGGAGTATCCAGACAAGAAGGTGACGACCAAAGTATTTGAATGTAGTTCAAGTAAAAGCAAAGGAACACTTCATCCTTGAATTCATCCCTATTGTAACACGTTGTTGGGAACGGCAGGAGTCATATTTAGGCAATAAGGTACGAGAGGCTGTACTTTATCGGCCAATAATTTAACAGTGTTGTTATGGCAACCTTCAAACCATTTTTGGAGTTTAGCACTATCGCATTACCTCATCATTGTGTCTATCACTTTATCCCTGAGTTTATATGTAGCTACCATACCTCTCTCGTTCAGGTGGTTCTAATCCACTCCAGGGTCGCGCTGGCTGACCCAGAGCTGCTCCCCAGCGTCAGACAGCAGGCCAAGGAGGTTCTTCTGGAGAAAGGAGTGGAGCTGGTTCTAGGTACTGTACCTGAAAGCAGACCAGGTTCTGTTGGGACCAGGTTCTGAACCTGCTGTTTGTGGGTCTCAGGTCAGAAGGTGTCCAACCTGTCGGAGCTGCAGCTCAACGTCACCCAGAAGAACCACGAGGTGAGGACAGAGAGAGGAGAGGTTCTGACCTCAGATCTGATCATCTGCTGCACCGGCATAAAGGTCAACTCTGCAGCCTACGCCTCCAGCTTCTGTGAGTACAAACTACAACGTTATCACTAAACATTACATAATACACACTAAACAAGCACACAAGCTGCACAATACACACTACACAATGAACACTATGCACACTAGCATACACACTATACAACCACACTACAGTATCACAATCTCTACACGACTACTTCATTAATACTTGATTGTAAATGTTACGTGCCCAAGAACTGCGTCAAGAACTGATGGAAATGTACACAATTTATTATTATTGTTGGACTCTATTGTTGGTACTTGTGGGGGAGGACTGGACTTGTGGTTGAGCCAAACCAACGAAAGTAACATAACGAAACTATGCCTGTCTACCCACCTCCAGAAACAGAAAAGTATACATAGACATTTTGTTTATTCTAAGACTTATTCGGTGAAGCCAAATACAGAGGAGGCGTCAACCGATTACCTTCGGTTTCTGGACAGAAATTGACTTGACAGTAGCAATAAATACCGTACCCCAGTCTCACCTGGGCCCTGTTCCTCGTACGATGAAATGTTCCTTTAGCAGCTCAAATCAACCCAATGATCGATGTAAGGCTATCTCGGGTCCTCAAACTATTGTACATCTTCTCTATTGCTTATTCTGTACATATGATATCCATTTCAGTCTGTCCATCCGGGAGAGGCAGCCTCCTCTGCCGTTCTCCATAAGGTTTTTCCCCTTTTTTTTTCTCCCTATCAAAAAGTTTTCCTTGTGTCTGTGAGGGTTTTGGGACAGGGGATGTCACGAGTGTACAGACTGTAAAGCCCTCTGAGGAAAATTTGCCATTTTGGGCTACAGAAAATGAAATTAATTAAATATTCTTGGCAAAAAGCGTCGCAAAATATCACGGGCGAGTTAACAACTTTCAATATACACATAATTCAAACAGATCAGCCCTGTTTGACAGCGAGGTCATCATACTCAGACAGCACGTTCTCCTCTGAGGACGTGAAGTCATCAATAATCTGTGCCTTTTGATTGGTTGATCGATTGGTGATCTGTCCACGCTGGCAGCCAGCTGTCTGGCCGATAACGGGGCACTGAAGGTCAACGACCACCTGCAGGTTACAGGCTTCTCCAACGTCTTCGCTGTGGGAGACTGCGCTGACGTCAACGAGCCCAAGATGGCATACCACGCCGGGCTGCACGCTGCCGTCGCCGTGAGCAACATCAGCAACAGTCTGAGTGGGAAGGAGCTGACCTCGTACCGCACAGGTAAACTCACGCACGTCTGTTGTAGTTGAGTGTCTGGTGGTTGCCTCTCGCTGACGGTGTCGCCGGTTGCTAGGTAACGTCACCATGTTGCTGGCGATGGGCCGTGACGACGGCGTGGGTCAGTTCAACGGGCTGAAGTTGCCTCGTTGCGTTGTTGCTTTGGGGAAGAGTCGAGATCTCCTGCTGTGGAAGAGTTGGCGGGAGATGCAACAGCAGCAACCCTGAGGACTCCTGTACTAAGGACCTTCACTCACTTCAGAAAAAATGAGGAAAGATCATTTTTTATGTTGACCGATTGATAGATGGATTGAGCACGTTTGTACATCCAGCTTGTTTTCTTTCTACAATGTTTAAATATTGGAGAATGAACTGATATCTGTTTGTTGCTCAGGTAATTTATGTTTGCGCAGGAACTTAAATGTTTTGAATTCATACAAAGATGCTTCTTTTATTTGAGTTCTGATGGAAATAAAGGTCTCAGACTCTGTTTAACACTGTAGTCTCCGAGCTGATGCGAAGCTACAAAGGTCTGTCTTTAGAAATCCCTCCATAGATTCAACAAAGGTGGAATTCAAAGGAGGACAATTCGAAGGTTCAACAACGAGCAGGAGACGTTCACTGATAGTGGTCTAGTTCAGCAGGGGGCGCTACAGCACCATGTTCAAGCTCCGCCTGTGTCTCCTATCACGTCCTCATACCCGGTTTAAATCATTGCGAACTCGCGCTTCTTCTTCATTTGGAATCAAACCAACTTGGTAACATGAGCGGAAGAGGAAAGGGAGGAAAAGGACTCGGCAAAGGAGGCGCCAAGCGTCACCGTAAAGTCCTCCGTGATAACATCCAGGGAATCACCAAGCCCGCTATCCGCCGTCTGGCTCGCCGCGGTGGAGTGAAGCGCATCTCCGGTCTGATCTACGAGGAGACCCGCGGTGTGCTGAAGGTCTTCCTGGAGAACGTGATCCGCGATGCCGTCACCTACACCGAGCACGCCAAGAGGAAGACGGTGACCGCCATGGATGTGGTCTATGCTCTGAAGAGACAGGGACGCACCCTGTACGGCTTCGGAGGATAAACACCGACTTCTGTTACCAAAACCCAAATGGTCCTTTTAAGGGCCACGCACTCTCTCTGGAGAGCTGATGTCCTCATCACGTCTATATGATTGTATTAATTATAACACATGAGTGTTCAGCTTAACAAAAATGATCCTTAATGTCACTAATATAGTGATAACCAGGACAAAGCATAATGGGGTAAACAATTTTTCTATTTGTAAATAGCTCTTTATCATTCATCTGTCTCTTTGCCCCAGAGTCCAGGAGAACAATTCATTAAAAAAAAAGCACTATCTTCTTTTTGTTGTGACTTCATGCTACATGTATAATCACTGTTCCAGTCATATACTATACGTGGGTTATCTAAATCGATACAAATGATCCGAACTTCCCATCACTAACGGAGACGAGGATGCAGTACAAGTTAGGTGATTTACTGGCGCTCAAATCACGCACCTGTCAGGCATGAACAAACAATCACAGAGCTCCGTCGTAGTGACAGTCAAACACAATCGAGCCCCGAGTGCTCGATCCAATATACCACACTTTTCAGCACATTAGACGGTGGCAATAATACTGCAATTTCATTGAATGTCGGTGAGTGAGGCTGTTCTGCCACGGAGGGGTCGGGCTCATTCTACCTCAAAACGGGGCTCACGTTTGACAGAAATCATTAGTGCTGGCGAGATGAGGATTTATGAAGCATTGAAGCTTTCCATCTAATTGTGTCACACGTGGGCCTTCATTTGCTTTACTGCGCCATCAAGTGGACAATAAACAAAATGACACCATGACTTTGATGTGTGAACCATTGAATAAATGAATGATGTTTGTGATGCGTAAACTTGTGAACGTATTAATACGGTGTCTGACCCCTTCACAGGGCACAGATGAAGCCGGGGTACAAAGTTTTATGTTCTTAGGTTCTACAAACGTCCAAGGTTTGGTTCACCTTGGTTGGTCTCCTTTTTCTCCTGCAGGGCTCTATGGTGCCTCAGCATAGATGAGCTGTTATTGTTGTATCCAAGCTCCCTTGAACACAACAGACACCTTTTACAATAAGAAAGCCATTAGAAGCGGCACGCTGTGTCATATTTACTTACAGTATATTACGCTAGTTATTAATAACATACCTTATTATGAAATATCAGCTCAAAATGTTCGCAGACAGAGGAAAATCTCCTCTTTCCTGCTGGTTCCATCACAGAAAAAAGAAGCTCCAATAGTTTATAAATAAACGCGCAATAAAGTTCTCTCTCAGTTCATCACAAACATTGAAAATCCCAAACTTGATGGAGATAGACTGCCTTTCACTGTAATCTGATGAGCAACCAGCTCCAAAGTAGACTCATTTTAACCAAGAGTAAGACTGTTTTCACACATACATCACGTAAAAAATGTAGTCGTCGAAGTGGAATAATCTAGAACTTCAAGTAGAAGTAAGGGAAATACAAAGTCTTGTTGCAAACAGAAGTATGGCAAAACATCTACATGAACAGATTTACAACCGATTTACATTAGAGCTGTGGTTTAAAGTAATAAAGGAAAAACGATTAGAGGAGGAGCTCGGGCCCCTACGATGTATAGCCTACGATACACATTTTGATCAGGTATTTTTGATCAGAGGTTTAAACAATGGATCTCATGTGGAATAACAGCAATATGCACAGTTATCAAAGATCGAAGTCTGTTATAAGCTTCCAGGAGCTGAAAGATAAACACACACTAAATAACCAGGACCACTTCAGATAACGGGAAAATGTCCATTGTCAGAATCTTGGGCTATGACATGCCTAAGTCATGTATGTTTCTTTACCTTGGTAATATGACAGGAGCTGATGTGTTGAGAGAAGACCGGTATCTGCTGAGAATTCTGCTAGCAGCTAGTAAAAAGGCCATTACAAAGAGATGGCACAGGACGGAACCACCAACATGAAGATTGTGACTGAACTGAACGATATGGAACTGTTAACCCACAAAACAAGAACCAAAGAGGAACAATGTTGTGAGAAATGGGGGAAATGGAAGATGTTCAATACATCCACGGCAATAGCTGTGCCATTACTCAACATAATACACTGACATCCGTCGCTTATGCAGATGCCGTCTGAAATGTACACACAGCCTAAAGAACAAGATCTTGGAACGGCCACACCCACTAAAAAGTGCATAGTGAGGCACATAATTATATACAGTAAGCTATAATTATGTGCAAGATGACATCTGGGATCCAGCCCTGAAAGCCCACACTTAACTTTTCCTTACCCCTTCTTCTCTCCTAGGACAAAGATATTTTGGGAGCTCATGATGAGGAACATCTGTTTCCTTAACACACCAACATCCTGGTAGAGTTGCCATCGTTACAGCCCCCACACTCCCAACCTCTATTTAAAAAATCATTGTTCATGTGGGAAGAAGTGATAAGCATCCCTCCAACAATCGGCGTCCACAAACCTTTAAACTTAAGTAGCATCAGCCCAATAAGCATTAATCCATAAACCCTGCTGTGTGTGCCCAACAACACGTGGCTCTGTTCCTCGCTGCTTCAACATGCAGAGGTTTACCTTATTTTTAAGAATCCTACACTTTATGAAACTGCTCTACATAGTGTTTTGCCTACTTATATTCTATTCATTTTCCATTTTAACGATATGGTAAAATTATCTACACTTTTAAGAAAGTAACAACATAATGGAGACATTTCAATCAGGCTTCAGGTTGTCGTAACACAGATCTCAGATCTATTTCAAATTGAATTTGATTTGATGTTGTTGTTTACAGCACTTTGGAAAACTCTAGATATTTGCAAATGTGCTTTATAACTAATCAGTATTTAATTTAATTTGATCAGTGCAGTCTTGTGACCAATAGAGGGTAATGTTGTTCTAGATATGATATTGAGAAACATGTTACTAGCTCACAGAGTATTTCATTACTTCTCTGAGCCACTAACTACTATGGACAGCTGAGCATGTTGAGAGTATGTTTTATTTTTTATTTAATTGTAAGAAGTCCTGGTTTCAAGTACTATACATGTCCTTTTTTGACCTTAGGGTTATTATGCACCAAGTGGAAGGTTTGAGTTGAAAAAAGAGACCATCTTTAAGCCAACAATGGTGTAATTGTACTGTAATTGCATTTCCAGATGGGAAAGATTGGAAATGATGGGACCAGTTTAACATACTGTGGTGGTCTCACTGTTACTCACATCTCCCCTATAAGGCGAGCATCCTCTGCTTGCACCAGCATGTTCCTGATGTAGTTGGAGTGGTCGGCCATGGTTGTAGTTAGCTTCTGATGGACAGAGTGGAACGTATATATTTCTTAAACCAACTATAAGGGGAATGCAACACTAAATAGCTGGATGCCTTCTTACACAAGGCATAGTTGATATATTTTATATTGCAAATATAAAAGGTAAATAGCAAGGTAAGGTATAGTGAGAGTTGATGTAACAATATCACATGCCTTAACTCCTCTCCCCCATGGTTGCTCTGAATCTTTTATTTTGAAAGCCGCAGAGAGGAAGTAGTTGTTGTCCAGGAGTCGACCGTCATCTACCGTTGCGTTGTCGTGCTATCCAGCTAGCTAGTTAGCTTAGTGGACCAAAATCCAACAGCTGAAGTGGTGAGTTTGCATCCACAAATAGGCAACGTTACGGTTTCCCCTCTCGTTGTTTTTTCTATCATCATATCATAGTTGAAGTGGTTTCCGGCTACATTGAAGCCAGCGACGTTAACATGAGCTAATAGCGTTAACGCTAGATAACTTGCTAGATATGCACGTCAATAAACGCTAATAACAGCACATTTTATTTCCTTCCAGGGATCATAATCGTATTTGCGATTGAAACAGATCTTAGAATCAGTTCTAAAGTCACGCTTGGTGACTTTTTGTTGTGTAATTGACATTATGGAAACGCGAACGATAGTGAGATTAAGTGAGACTGGACGCGTTAGCGTGCCGCTCTTTGTTGCTAGGCAACACAGTGATCCGCTGGGTGTTTGAGGTAAAGCCTGTAATTACATTAGTCTGGCTAAACCAGGCATTGTCGTCCCTTGATCGTATGCTGTATGCCTTGATGCTCCCATGCTTAGTTCCCTATATTACCGTAAGAAAATAACTTAAATAACACTGTGCCCTTTTTTGTCTCTTCTCGTCAGGATATAGATTATAGGCACAATGTTGGTCCCAATATTCACCCTGAAGCTAAACCACAAGATTAACCCTCGGATGGTGACTGTTGGGAAATTCGATGGAGTGCACCCATGTCTTACTGCAGCCACGCAGGCTGGAAAGGTGAGGGAAATACAAATTAATTACACATTTCTTTGTCGCTGTCCCGCTTTACCAGCCTGAAATGATGGAACCAGGCAACGACGATGTTTTCCCCGTCATATCCTGAATTGTCTGTTTTTCTCTCTAAGGTTTTTATCCATAACCCTCATGCCCGTGGTCAGAGGCCTGTGGCCCACCGCCTCAGCCAGAGCGCACAAGACTCTGACATCTCGCTCCTCAACATCAACCAGGCAGTCACTTGTCTGACGGCAGGAACTCTGGGACCAAACACCACTGGGGACACGCTGTTAGTGGGATCCCAGACAAACCTGCTAGCCTATGATGTCCACGACAATGCTGACATCTTCTACCGAGAGGTGAGTGGAAGTTTGTCCCTGGCCACAAGCCACTTTGTCATAACAACACGCTCACGCTTGAGTGTCACCGTTCCGATATATGCATATATATCTGATCATACATAATAGTAATAATAATAAAAAATAAAAGTTTCATTTATATAGCACCTTTCCAAACAATGTTATAAAAGTGTGCATAAGAGTCATACAAAATACAATCATAGTGAATTTAATAGTTAGATTAAATACAAATGTAATTAAATTAAATCACCTGACTTGTATAAGAAAGGCAGCTGGTAGGAGTGAATCTTTAGAAGATATTGAAAAGAGGATACTGAATTCTAAAACTCACTGGTAGCCAGTGAAGACCAGCAGGGACTGGTGTGATGTGGTCGCTTCTCCTTGTAAGGGTTAAAAGGCTGGCAGCAGCGTTTTGCATCATTTGTAGTCTTTGAATGTTTCGCCTGCTAATGACAGAATAAAGTGTGTTGCAATAGTCCAGCTTGGAAGAGATAAACGCAGGGAAGACTCCTTCCAGGTCTGCAGGTGAGAGGAAAAGACTTTTCCTCTCACCTGCACCTAATTTTTCTTAGTTGTCGCAGTTGGCCGAAGCAGATCTGCACAACTTTGGTGAGAGCGCAGAGTCATAAAGAATGGCCAGGTTGCGTGCTTCATGCCGAACATTCTTTGGTAGGGTTCCCAGAATTAAAAAAAATCCGCTATCCAAAACTCGTAGTGAGACTATTGAATTCTTGGTCGAACTGAATACTACAAATGACATGCAAAAAACATATTCTGGTAGCAGCAGCAATGCTTTACACGCAGGAGACAAGCTGTCAACATGTTGTACTGTACAGTATTCTCAAAAGGCCTCGTATTTCTGTTTCTTCTGTGTGTGGGGGTGTAGGTGGCGGACGGGGCCAACGCGATTGTGTTGGGGAAACTCGGGGGTATCCCAAATCCTCTGGCCATCATTGGAGGGAACTGCGCTTTACAAGGCTTTGATTACGCTGGCAATGACCACTTTTGGACAGTAAGGACAGCAAGGCCACCTTTGCATTATCACCATTCGATTTTTCTCGATTCTCTCTAGAACGATTCGGTCTCGATTCAGAAAAGTTAATAATCGGAATTTTTAAAAAAAAACGCCCTTTTTTTCGAAATGATGAGATAAAACGTTGTCAAAAAACAAACGCCCCCCCCTCGGTAATCGTAGTGGACCGTAGATGACAACCAGCTACAACCATCATTTACCATCATTACCGGCACATTAAGAGCAATGCGTCCAGCTTGCAGACCAGTCTGTCAGTCTGAATCTGAATATCTTGCCAACTTTACCGAACTATGAAGGAGCCTGCGCATATCTTACCTCATTATTTCGATTTTTCCAAAAAGTCGAGATATTCACAGATTTGGACTTTTTTCCGGTTTTACAAATACGGACCGGTCTGAGACTAAAAGCAGCTTTTTCTTCATTTAAAAGAAAAATGAATCTGTTTAATTTTTTTTTTACATAGGCTACTTCCATATTGTGTTGAAATGCAAGCTGCATTGGTTCTTGCATTGTTGATAGAAAATCATATTTGTGACAAAGATTTTTTTTTCTCTTATAAAAAATTAGAGAAGGTAATTCATCTGTTGATTTTCTTTAATTATCAAATAAAGTAGGAAGTGATTAGCAACCTCTGAGTAGCAAACTCAGATTTGAGAAAATTTAGAAAATCGAGATGCATCGATAATCGTTTTATCAGTTTAGAATCGATAATCGGTTTAGAATCGAATCGTTGACCTCTGAATCGGAATCGAATCGTGAGGTGCCAAGAGATTCCCACCCCTAGTCAAAAGTGCCTTATGTTCATTAAGTGGGTCGATACTTCACCAAAATGTAGCACCTGGCAGTTTTCCAACATTCTTTCCCACATGAATGTCCATATCAATATCAACTAAATGGATGTGTTAATGAAGGGCCGTGTTTTTAGGTGACTGGCGATAATGTCCGATCTCTGGTGCTGTGTGACTTCACTGGCGATGGAAAGAATGAGGTGAGGCCCGACCGGCTGGCGGGCAGAGAAACACACTGATCACAGAGCAGACTGTCTAGAGACTGATCACACGTCTTCCACCCCTCTGTCTCTTTCTGTTCATTGACATGATTGTTTTTTTCATTCAAAAACGTGTAATCACAGCTATTGTGTTTTCAGCTTCTGGTTGGATCAGAGGACTTTGACATCAGAGTATTCAAAGAAGATGAGCTAGTGTCCGAGATGACTGAGAACGAGGTGAATGGATGCAATGCGTTAAGCTTTTATTAACTAGTCGACTCCCGAGAAAACTCATCAAAACTAACAATAGTCTTGTTGTTGTTGTTTTTTTACTTTAAATTGTGTTTTGTTCATCACATCATCATTGCAATGTTACTCATTCTCCCTCGGTCCTTCTCCCTGCAGACAGTAACGTCACTGTGCCATATGCACGACAGCAGGTTCGGCTACGCTCTGGCCAATGGCACTGTGGGAGTTTACGACCGCACCGCCCGCTATTGGAGGATTAAGGTACCGTAACCATTTATAATGATGTCGTCTTGGAATGGAGGGGCTAACCTCAGAGGAAACAACAGGTCTTACACATCAACAGTGTGGTAGCCTTTGAGGGGTTCAGACCGCATCAAGACCAAGACCAGACTGACTGAGACCTTCGTACGGTAGTCTCAAGACCAAGGCCGCTTTCGAGTTCTTTAAAGCACAGTGTTAATGGCATTTCCAATGTTTCATCATTTAGCGGATGTGTTACCAAGGCTATCACGCAAACTGTTAGATAACTTATTGTATGTATTTAACCATTTGAGCCTAATATATGCCTTTCTCAATAATGTGTTTTTCCCTCATCAAATAGTCTAAGAATCATGCAATGAGCATCCACGCCTTTGACCTGAATGCTGACGGGGTGGTGGAGCTCATCACCGGGTGGTCCAATGGAAAGGTCAGCAGGCCGGGCATTTAGGGACTTTAGAAATACAAATGACATTTGTGGACACTCAGTCGTTCCTGCAGTACCTTTTAGGTTGTCTTCACCGTTCATCACATTCTCCTTTTTAATTCAGATCGATGCTCGTAGTGACCGCACCGGCGAGGTCATTTTTAAAGACAACTTTTCCTCTTCTGTGGCCGGAGTGGTGGAGGGAGACTACAGGTTGGATGGACAGAAACAACTTATCTGCACCTCCACTGACGGAGAAGGTATTTGGATGTTGGCTGTGTCTGCCATGTTGGAAAAGGTTGTATGTCCTGCATACAACCGTATATCATCTGTCAGCTGCAACTGCACTAAAGGCTTAATTCAGACGTAGCATCCAAAAAGGATGAACATGGTTTGGGAGGTTTAAGCATTTCATCTTGGATTAGAACATCATCAGTGTTTTAAAATGTGTGTATCTGGTAGTTCGTGGTTACCTGCCAGCCAGTAAAGAGCTTAAAGGGAATCTCATGGACTCCAGTGCTGAACAGGACCTCATTAGAGAGCTCAGCCAACGCAGACAGAATCTGTTGCTGGAGCTACGCAACTATGAAGAGAATGCCAAGGTACATATATCTATTTATGTAGAGTACGATTCTTGCTTGACATGAGGTTGTATATTCTATATGCTTTCATCCACACACACCGTACCCTGTTGTTTCAGGGTGTGTCCGAGACAAACAGCGGGATGGGTGTCATACCAGCCAACACTCAGCTCAAGACAGCGCTATCAGTGAGACCTGCCACAGAGACTCAGAAAGCTCATATAGAGCTCAACATTTCAACAGCAAACGGTGGAGTGTATTACAACTCGGGCAAGTAGAGTAGAGTAAATACTCCAGAGTCACTGAATCTCTCCTTTTATCCTCTTCAGAAACCATCATCCGTGCAGTGCTAATCTTCGCAGAGGGGATATTTGAGGGAGAGAGTCACGTTTTCCACCCCAGCGCTCAGAACCTGTCGGGCTGCGTCCGCGTCCCCATCGTTCCCCCAAAAGACATACCAGTAGATCTGCACATCAAGGCCTTTGTCGGAGGGAGAATTAGGTAGGCTGTTTGAGTTGAGGGAAGTGTGTGTGCTGTTGTGTGCACACTTTTTCTCGCCACGTAATTAACCACCTTCTCTGCTCTTCGTTTGTTTCCTTACTCCAGCACCCAATTCCACGTGTTTGAAATCACTCGTCAGCTGCCTCGTTTCTCCATGTACGACATCCCAGTTGACTCCTCGGCCGCGCCGCCCACTGGCAGGGTCACCTTCAGCATCAACGACCGGCCACAGCGGGTAGGCGGTTTGTGATCAGTCCCACAGCATGTTCCAAACGATGACATCGCTCTACATGCTTGCTAATTAAAAGATTTTAATAACGTATGCAAGTGTATGTATGTGTGTGTGTGTGTGTGTGTGTGTGTGTGTGTGTGTGTGTGTGAGTAGGTGGTGATGTGGCTGAATCAGAACTTCTTGCTTCCAGAAGGACTAGACTGCCCCAACATCACCTTTAATGCTCTAAGAGGAGGGGGACTGTTGTCCATCAGTATGGCCAGCAATGGACAGGTGCACCCGAACCACAACAATCACATGTGTTTAGCTACATTATACCTACACTTTTGTACACGTTTCTACCAGCTTTAAATTTCAACAAGAACCATGTAAAAAATGTGAAATCACTGACTTGTTTATTTAGTTTGTACATAGTCCATTGAATTGTATTGAATTAATTACATGATGATTTAAAGTTAAAGGGCTTGTGTTGTGCTTACTTTGGGGTTTTTATATAATCATTTAAATGGAGAATTGTGAGTGTGTAAATAATATGTTCTTACCTTCCGAGGAGAGAGCAAAACATTGATGTTAATTTGCGTTAAGTTACAATTCCTACTGAGATTTTTTTTCTTTTTTCAATAAACTGAAATCAGATGCTCAATTTTCCCAATCAGATCACTCTGAGGACGGATGACATTGACCTGGCGGGAGATCTGGTCCAATCGCTTGCCTCCTTCCTGGCAATAGAGGACCTCTCAGCAGAAGCGGACTTCCCTGCATACTTTGAGGACCTACACACTACACTCACTGAGGTGTGGCTCAAATGACATAGAAACCTCTGCTGTCAGAAACATCTTATGCTGTATATTCCACTAATATCAATAGAGAGAATGTAGTTGTTGCTGTTTTTTGTTGCCGCTGTGGTTTCATCTTGAGTCTTAAATATCGGCATCTTAGGTGGATGAGTTCCACTCTGTCCATCAGAAGCTAACTGCAACCATGGCCGACCACTCCAACTACATCAGGAACATGCTGGTGCAAGCAGAGGATGCTCGCCTTATGGGGGAGATGTGAGTAACCGAGAGACCCCCACACTATGTTCAACTGGTCCCATCTATGGTATTTATGTCTCTCTTCTCTGTTATAGGCCTTTTTCAGGAGGCATAATGACATTTTGGTGGCATGTGATTTAGGTCTCTTCCAGAGTCGTGGTATTGTGCATTCCTGTGTTAAAGAAAGAAAAAGCTTACCGGCAGACCCTCACTTTGAACATAAGAAAGGCAGCTGTGCATTGTCTACCTCAAATTAACATGACAATTAAAAATGTCTCCTGGAAAAATGCTCCACTGTAGTGCCAAAAGTAGTGGTTTCTGAAACAAAAGAACAATTGTATTAAAAACATGACTAACAAGTACTCGGTGGCTACGCTATTGTGTTAGACTGTACAATTAGAACAGTCTTCCATTAAATCCTACCTCCATGTGATGATTATAGTCTTTAGTTTCCTTGAAACTGTTTTTAGAAAGACTTCATCCAAATTTGTGGATATTTTGGAAGCCGCAATTGTTCGTGCTGTTGTATTCAATTATAGTGATCGTGTTTCTGGTATTTTATTCACAATCAATGATATAAACGCGATGGGCAAAACTTTAGAAATAGCTTTTTACTTTACAATCCTAACTGAGTCTATATTTGACCCTATATTTAGATAATACTGCTATGAGATCCTTTTTCATTCTTTTGTCGAGTCACTGCCTCTCTTCCTCATCTCCCCATACTTTCCCTTGATTTTCCTCCAACTCCCTCTGCAGGACGACTATGAAGAAGCGCTACAGAGAGCTGTACGATCTAAATAGAGATCTGATCAACGAGTATAAAATCCGCTCTAACAACCACAATGCATTAATTGCCTGCCTCAAGTCTGTCAACCAGGCCATACAGCGAGCTGGTAGACTCCGAGGTAGGTGTGTGTGTGTGTGTGTGTGTGTGTGTGTGTGTGTGTGTGTGTGTGTGTGTGTGTGTGTGTGTGTGTGTGTGTGTGTGTGTGTGTGTGAAAGGATGTGAAAGGATGTGCATGTCAGGGACAATCAGTATTATTGTACTTGGGTATGTTTGTGGATGGTGTACTTGGGTGGGAGGCTCCAAAGCTTTTGCACACAATGTGACTCTTTAAAGCTTTGTTAAAGTTGATAAAGGGAACACAAATGCTTTCTAACGTTTTGAACGTGGCTCCTCCTAGCTACCAGAATGGAAAGACACTGTTTCACTGTCTCCTATGGCTTTATTTTGGAAGAATACAAGCTGTTGCAGATCAAGGACGAGGAGTTTTAGATTATGCTCTGAATGTAGCGGCCATAACTTTATATCACCCTGGACATTTAGCTTCAAAACAAGGAGCACCCATTGACAAGCAGGTTTCTGCATTTCAGCGGTGAAAACAGTGGTATTTATTCTGTCCATGGCTGTGATGCTGCACCAAAATCCCTCTGATATGTATATCAGTATTCATCAATTAATAACAGATTATATGAGGCATCTGAATACATATTTGTACTATCAAATGGCGATGAACAGAGCTTAGAGCAGGGGTCTCAAACTCAAATCAGCTGCGGGCCAGATGCAGCCCACTTCAACCGAACGCGGGCCAGACTAGCGTCCGAACGGCATGGTCGACAATAACACAACTTAACACTCACTTTCAAAAGCAGTCATTGAACCCCACCCTGGGGGATCGGTCCGAATGAGACTACAACACTAGTCCTCCTTTAACTCAGCGGGGGAGACCTAAGGTCATGTGACCTTGGAATTCCTTTATAGCCAAACGTGAAGTTACGTGGATCGAAGCTGCGTAGTAATGGACGGAGACGCTCGTCGGTGACGTCAGATGCTTCATGTGTTGTTAGTGTGAGTCGTAAAGAAAACATTATTAAACGAGCGATGCTAACGGTTAGTCACATGATCACCTGCGCGAAAGAGGGCAGGAAACTGAATTTCACCCTCCTGCTCTCTGCACCTCGACCGACACACACGACCCGCCCCCCATGTCAGTCACATGCATGCCACGTTCACTGGACAAGCACACAGTAGGAAACCAGAACATCATAACATGTCCCACACAGCAGCTGACAGTGGGGTTACAGTATAAAACTTGCGGGCCGCACTAACATTACACTTTCATATTAAGGATGGGGCCACAAAATATCGTCCCGAGGGCCGCAATTGGCCCGCGGGCCGCGAGTTTGAGACCCCTGGCTTAGAGGGTTAAAAGCAGTGCTGTGTGTTGTTACAACTCAAACCTGTCTTGTCTGCGCATATTAATCCTTCTGTTGCTGTTCCTCCTTGTCTTCAGTTGGTAAACCCAAGAACCAAGTAATCTCCGCCTGCCGAGACGCCATCAAGAGTAACAACATCAACGCACTCTTCAGGATCATGAAAGCTGGCACTGCATCCTCCTGAGGACGAATCAACTGAAAGATATCGGACAACGTATCTGAACTGCGGTGTCTAATGTGATCGGTTTCATGCTCGGCACTGAGGATTTCCCCCCCCCCCGAGTGATGAGACGAGAACTAACGCAGCGACGTGAAGAGGGACCCTGTTGTAGCCTTAACCTGTCCTTTTGCATGGCGGCAACGTTTGGTACTAGCGCCACAATACCGTTTCACTCTATGGGACGACTAGTTCTACTTGCTCCCAGAGATAAAACGCTGACAACAGGCTTAGTGCTCGTGGGAGAGTTTGATTTAGTGCAGTTAAAGCTTAGCTAGGTAATTGTCAAACTGATTGCGGTGAAGGCTGGAGAGACAACTTGGAGAGTTCAGGTCAAGAGTCAGTGGAGCTCTTTCCTCGGGCGGATGGAGGAAAGATATTCAATGATGCTTCAGAGGAATTCGTGTTAATGCATTAATCTGACCGCTGTCTAAAGCTCATGCAAAACAACACAATCAGTCATCAGTTCCTCTCTCCCAAGCACTGGCTGGTAGTAAGTAGGAGTTAAACATATCTTTCTTTGAATGCTCTAGACTTCTTCCAGGTAACGTTGCACATTTCCTCTAGGAAACGTTTAAACTTCAGGAGAACGGTTCTACTAAGCTTGAGGGTTTCAATCAAAATGAGTATGAGTGTGACTTGTTTATTCCAGCTGACAGAGTGATGTTAATGATGAGCGAGCACAGCGGGAGCCTCTAAGATCCCTGTTGGCCCCTCTGTAGCGCTGTGTCACTGAGATGCTCACAGCACTCCGGCTTCTGTTGACCGCAAAAGAAAACTATTTTAAATGAATGTTACAGAAGACCAACAGTGTGTTGCACTGGTTTACCTTTTGTAGATTGTATACAGAGACTGTAAATGTTTTATTGTGTATGTGGCAGAAACTGTTATTAAATATTAATGTGTTAAAATTATGTACATATTTGGTTTCTTTGGACATCTGCTTGATTTTTTTTTAAAGAAAAAGGTTTGGTTATGGAGGCTAAACTTGTCTGCCGAGCATGAGCACGAATAACACTTGGCTTCGTTTGGATAACAGGTGGAAATTCATTTAAAAGGTGTTTCTTCCAGGGTTTTTTTTTTTGCATATTTGCAAGGGACTTCCGTTTCATTCAAATGATGCATTTGTCAGTTAAGCTGTTCCTGATATCAGCAGCAAGGGCCAAAGCGTCACACATGTTCACTTATTACTTCCAGCTTTTCTCAACTTTCCGAGTCTTTGTGTGGTTCTGATTGCACACGTGTTCCCTCACACACCGGTCTGTAGTCGTAAATCACAGCTGCTGCGGTTGTGTCTCCGCACGGGGGGTGGGTTCTCCCATACGGGTAAGAAACACTTCGCAGGCTTTGAGCTCTGACTTTCTTCCAAACCCAAACTAGAAACATTCTTACTTTCGAAACTTCCAAGGAGCCAAACCTTGCCGAACTTGTATTTATTCCCCTCGTCTATTAACATCTTGCCGTGTTGCGATGTTGGCATCTGGCGTCAAATCGCTTTGCGCACGTTTAGGTCACGTGGTCAGGGTAAAGCATAAATTGTCGCATTCAGGTTCTCCCAGTTGGTGTCGTACATCTGACGACTATTTTAGAAATTCCCAAAACATTCTGCTTTATGGATTGACAGACAAAGTTTAGACCAACCACGTGCAGAATATTAAACACTGTTCACGTGACAATTCCTTTACCAGAAACCCTTTTATATAGGAGCAAACTACTTAGACTTTATAGTTGTATAGCTTACTTTTGCTGTCTCTTTGTTTTGGATGTTGAGGTAGTTATTATTATGTTTTATTTTATTGTCTCTTTGGAGGATGGCCAGGGGACACTGACACTTCTCGGGCCTGTGCCTGACACACCTGTTCAGCAATACATCCATGTACGTATAAATAATCCCTCTTAAACTCAACATTACAGATTGTTGTTTCAACATAACAAGTATTGTCACTTTTCTCCCCTTTTTTTACAAAGAAGAATTGACTACATTGACCACAACCAGCAGTTCTAGCAGTTTAGTAATTAGTTCATTCCACAGTCGTCCCTTTTATTCATATGAAATGAGTGTATAATGGTTTACACTAGCAGCTATTAGGTTGACAGTGTATAGATGAATATTCCTACAGTACCTGAAGGCAACCATGAACGCGTCCAGCAGCGGACGGGCTGGAGGCCAGGTATCTTCTGTAACCTCCCTTCTGCATGCGCGCACACACATATGTGAAGGTAGACACAATACATACACACACACACACACAAGATTACGGCCGCTCATCTCTTCTCATTGTGCGTTTGTCTCTGTTTTGCAGTGGAGGCATGTTGCAGTTTCACGCAACAGATGTTTTCATTTTGACGTCCTGCGCCGTCGCGTCTGGTAAGTTTAAATGACTTTCATGAATCGGGGAACATTTCGTCACAGTTTTTTTTTTTTTATAAAAACAGGCAAACGTCTTGTTGGTGCTGTAAAACAAGCGGAACATAGTATTATTTCTCGTGCATTGAAAGGCGATTGCGGTAGAAGTTCGGGGATACTGTTTGTCATGCTCGTGCAGAATGTATGTTCACAGAGGAATAGCTGAGCTGAGACAGTCACGGTTACAGCAGTGAGTCATTTAGCGATCTGCGACAATGGCTTGAACGTCTGAACAATGTGTTCTTCGTTGCTACCGTTATGCTCACTTACATAAGAAACAGGCACTTCCCGTTGTGAGTGATGGGAATAAAAAGACAGCATTTAGGATTAGTTCTAGTTCATTATGGGTTGTCCTGGTGGTGACCAGGTGGTGTGAGGGAGGTCGTATATGTTCCAAACCCAGTATTCAGTCACATTTAGCCCCTTTAACTTGATGCCCTGTGAACAAAACCGTGGTACTGAAAAATAAGTAGGAGTAGGAGAAAGTAGATTATTGTCTCTCTATATTGCTCAAGTCCAACAAATTTACTTTTTTGGCAACAGGAACATTCAACAGAATCTGCTGATTGATTTCCTCGACAAATAAGAATGATTTATTTGATAAGAAGAGATTAGAGGGTGTCAAAGCACAGCACATCCACTTTATTAGACCAGACAAATGGGGACAAGCAGCAATATCTTATTTGCAATAGGAACAATCTAAGGCTCTGGAAATGTGTTTTTTTTTCTTGTCCAGGATGCGCCCATTTTTTCGTGCCCAAGGGGAAGATGGAGCCAGACATGGTGGAAGTGCATCCAGTTATATGATTTTTTTACAGACAAAATGATATGTTTAGCAATACAGTAGTAGGTAGTAGGATAGGATGTAGTAGTAGGATGAGTACGGACAGTGAACACATCTTCTCAAACATACGTCTGGTCTGCATCAGTCTCCACTGCTGTCGGCAAAGCAGTATGACTTGCGACAGCCCTGTTCCACTGCATTCCTGTTCAATACGTCACTGAAGTCAGTGTCTTCAGAAGGATCCAAGAACATGGTGACATTGAGGAGAATCTTCCATGTGAAGGGAGATGTGTTGTGCACAATGCTGCTACTGGTGCTATTCTGCCTGCTGCTCTATGCCCGCCAGGTAAGGACCACTCACAGCATATAAGGGTAATTAAAAAAATGTTAGTATTTCAAATCACATGTCTGCATCCCATGTCCAATGCATGTCCAGGTTGTGCTCTCCTCTGGGTGGGGCAGGCCTGCGTGGAAGATAGAGGTCCATGGCTCGACCAGCTCCAGCAGGACATTACTTGGCGCTAGCAGAGCTAAAGCGGGCAAGGAGTCTGCAGGGGTATGAGCTGATCTGGTTCAAATTTATGAATGTGTGTGCCTGTTTGCATGTAGGTATCAAAGTGTCTTCATGTTGAAAAATGGGTGACATGATAATGAATGCATTACAACATAGCGCTTGTTGCGCTATGTATTGCCTCGCACCAAACAGCAGACTAGCCGGTCAAAGAGCAGCCGCGTTTGGAAAGAAACTGTGAACCTTGAAAAGTAGTTAGTCGTGCCCTCATTTATAAGATGTTCTCTTCCCACATAAGGATGGGATCCCCTTTTGCTCACAGAGTGTGTGGAGATATTATTACAGTCTCTACTGCTGATCGGAAATCCCAGGCCCGTGTCAGAGCACTGTACGATGTGTGCTGTGGGAATCTACCTAGTGCATCAGTTTATGTACACACAGTAGGCCATTTTTATGTTTGCATGAATCTTTACAGAAACAGATAATAATGAAGCAGTAAGAACAAAACATATAATGCTGGTTTTAAATGTCACTTCAGACTTTCTAGACTTCTTTTGCACATTAAACCATGAGATTATATCTTCTTGTGATTCATAAATATATGCCATCTTTTGTGCCACATAATTTTTCCTAATCAGCAGATTCCATCCAGACCTTTGGAGTCACAGCTGCCTCCCTGCAAACCCCAGTCCAAGTCCCAACCTCCTCTGTCCAAGTTGAAAGCTCCCCAGCTCAAGACCAAACCTCAGTCCAAGTCCAAAGATCTTGTCAAATCAAAGGGGAAATCTAGGTCCCAAATGAAAAATGCTGTCCCAACGAAGGCCGCCTTAAGGCCCCTGCCTACGTTGCCCCCATTTGACTTTGAGGGCTATCTGAGAGAAAAGGACAACCGAAACTTTAAGCTGCTCATAGACCAGCCGGAGAAATGTCACATTGGAGGAGCAGTGGAGGAAGCAGCAGGAGGAGGAAGTAAAGGGTCTACAACTGCTCCATACATGCTCATTGCGGTGAAATCGATTCCTGCAGATTTTGATAAACGTCAGGTAAAATAAGATGTATTGTATGCAAGGCGTTTGCCAAGAAAATATTTGAAACTGTTGCAATTTTCTGTGAATTGTGATCAATATAAATGAATGTATTCTTCAGCCAAGGGATTTAGTGTATGAACTCTTGTTGCATTTGTAGTGTTTCAATGTGTAAATACGCTATTGTTTGCTAATACGCTGCTCCCAAGTAGGTGGGACTTGAAAAGACTAATATTTTGAGAGTTCCAGTCTGGTCAGTAGATATCCGACTAAAGCTGGTTGATAAGATAATATGTTATCACATCATCTTTAAATGGAATCATATGGTGATGAAGTCATATTTTAAGATTTCATGACACACATCAATGTGTCTAGATTCATTTACAACTTGTGATTGTTTTGCCCTAAAGTTAATAACTTAATGAGAGCATTCAATTAAAAAAAGAGTAGACAAAAACATTTTTTTTTTCAGATAGACTCTCCATTGATATGGAGGTATTATATAACCTGCGTAGGAGACTTTGGCCAAGTCAGTCAACCCAATCCAGAACAAGACTTTCTCTTCCGTGTGGTATTTTGTTTGGCGTAATGTTTTCAGTGTGATAAGCAACTTGAGACGGAACAACAAGAGTTTGACTTGAGAAACGGCGTCTACTGACAGATTGTCAGGCTGCATCTATATGTGATCTGTCTATTTTCCTCTCCAAATGAAATGTTTACCTCCATTTAACTAAAGCCTGGTGGAATGCGATTGGTTAATGCTTATAAGACTACAAACACAACCCTTACAATGCCAAAATCTTGTCACCATTGCCACCTAGAACTTGATGAATCTTTCTGAATAATAAGCACTTCTGCTTTTAGGTGGTACGTCGGACCTGGGGTAAAGAGGGAATTTTTCAAAAGGATGTGTCCATCCGGACGGTTTTCCTGCTGGGGGTTCCCAGGAATCGGACTGCTCTGCCTCTTTGGGATCGGCTCATGACCTACGAAAGTCAAACCTTTGGGGATATCCTACTTTGGGATTTTGAAGACACCTTCTTCAACCTGACGCTGAAGGAAACACATTTTCTGAAATGGATTAACAGCAGCTGTCCTCATGTCAAGTCAGTGTTTGCAAGCCTAAATCAAGAATTTATCTCATTTTTAGCCTTCTCGTGACTCCTATTTGACGCTTTTTCCTATTATGTCTTTTTGCACAGATTCATCTTCAAGGGTGACGCTGATGTGTATGTGAATGTGGAGAATATAGTGGAGATGCTACAAGGTCAAAAGCCAGAGGAGGATCTGTTTGTTGGTGATATTATTATCCACGCTAAACCAATTCGTCGGCGCAATTCCAAATACTACGTCCCAGAGTTTGTCTATGGAGGGGGTTTGTACCCAAACTACGCAGGGGGAGGAGGGTTTGTCATGTCGGGGCATACGGCTCGGAGACTTAGCTCTGCCTGTCAACAGGTGCTTCAAAGTTTGACTATTTTAATATTTGTCTGTTTATACAAATTTTTGATTCCCAATGCTGTTCTTCACTTTCAGGTGGAGTTGTTCCCCATTGATGATGTGTTTCTAGGAATGTGCCTCCAGTTGATTGGCGTGAAACCATCTCGCCACCAGGGCTTTCGGACCTTCGGGATTCCGCGGCCCTCTGCAGCACCCCACCTTCAGACGTTTGACCCCTGTTTTTACAGGGAACTCATGGTTGTTCACAGCCTCAGTGTTCCTCAGATCTGGCTCATGTGGAATCTCCTGCATGACCCCAGACTGAGCTGCCACAACAGGACTAGCCAGACGTCCTGGCCCTTTAAGTGGAAGGATAAGATGAGTAAAGCAACGGGTGAAGAGAAGGACTATGGCGAGAAGGACTATGGCAGGAAGGACGTGTTTTTCTCGCATTAGTCACTCTCTGTGGGGCTGATTGGGATCCGTAAGCTAAGGACGACGAAATGTTTAAAAAGTGAGAATCTTTGCCCAACATGAAAGACTTTAGATGTCTTAATAAGAACTGTTGAGTCTTTTGAGACCTCGTCCAAGATGGTAGATAATCTTTGGGGAAATGAATTGGCAAAAAGCCTTATGTGCTTCAGATTTTTCCGGGAGGAAAAGATGAGAATTTGGGTTTTTGCCACCCGAGGCCATCTGTGTGATTACAACAGTGCACAACCATGAAGATTGGCGACGATTCACGATTGTGAGAAGACTATTGAATGTGTAATCTTCAGAATGCATTGTTCTAATTGTTTACACAGACACAGTAAGATGTAGGAAACACTTAGCCGATGTGTCGATAGCTGTTATAACCCCACCAAGCGTGAAAGCATCTGTGTTTCTGAGACCATGGCATCAGTTTAAAATACTAACTTAACTCACGTCGGACTGTGTGTACTCGCCAAAATCCCTATGAGAAATACAGGATGATGGAGGCACAAATGGACAGTTAGATTCCCTGGAGGAACAACAAATGAAGCCTAAATAGGAAACAGCAGGCACACACACAGACACACAAGTCTGAGTTATTCGAGGGAAAGCCTGATATCTGCGGAGTCAGGCATGTGTAGTTTCATGTGAATGCTATTATGAAATACTATAATAATTTGATTTGTGTAGTTCTTTTGTTACAACTTTATTCGTTTCATCTGGTACCCTTTTCGCTCCGCTGGGTGAGCGGCTCTCCAGTCTGAACTATCTCAATAACTATTCGATGGATTGCCATGGAATTTGGTGCGGACATTGATTGTGCTAATATGGCAACACAAATTCAACAAGTTTGCACAGAAGCATAAGCATGTTATGTGATATAAAAATGACGATGGCAAATCTTTGCAAAATCACAGGTGATATCGAGGTGAAATATTAAGAAATGTGGTTGGAACAGACTGTGAATAAAATAAAGTTTGAATACGCATCTGATCATCTTGAATGATTAGTACTTATTAATAAAAACTGTTACATTGAGCTCCAGAATTCATTTTCTTTCCAGGAAATGTTCTTATCGCAAAGTGTCAAAGTTGTGTAAACTAGAAATAAATGCCACAGTCTTTTGCACATCCACATTTTTATTAAATGTTTTCATCACATTTTCATATCTTGTTTGTACATACAATGAACTTTGACATTGATGAGGGAATTTATTTTCATTACAGTCCAGCCGAATTATCCCATTTGAGTTACCAGCAGAAGCTTACTTCAGCAACCTTCACAACGCAGCGATAATTATTGTGCTGTACCAAAGCTTCAGTCAACCGAATCTTTCTCTATGCACTATATAGTATTGTTATTGCATTTTGTTCAGTGGAAATGCAAAAATAATTGGAGTTCTCTGCATTCAGTATTAATGAACTTATTTTAGCATTTGGATTAAAAAGACATGCTTACTTTTCACTTATTAACTACAGGAAACATTTTAGAAAAACAAGGATGGGATAAGTCCACCTGAGTTCGGGTGAGTTTTCCTGCCCAGCGACCCGTAGCCCTCCCTGGGCTCAGTTTACCAAAACTGGGTTAACGGTTCGAGCTGTTTTATGGGGTGAATTATATATTGAATAATCAGATTCCCTATAATCATTGAGCATGTATGTATTGTTTGAAAGAATATTGTTTGTTTTTTCATATCACAATTGCGCCATCCGTTTCCGAAGCAGCAACGCTTAAATAACAAGTTGTTTTGAGGAATAATCAATGAATGTTGTTGAAGCAGGCGAGGAATGGGTTTCCTTCAGGTCTAAAAGAAGAACTGCATTTCTAAAATCATGTATTCCTTAGTAACTAAACATGATGAGCCTTGAAGGGTTGTGAACACATTGTTCCGTTTGTTTGGCATTACTAACATTGACATTCCACAACGGATTACGTTACGTTTACGGAAATAGAGAACTAACTTTTGCCTTGTCTCGGTGATGCCAAAGCAGCCTTCCAAGAAAACTAAAAAGGCAAGGCCATACGTTAACTCGCTGCTAATGCTCCGTTACATGCACACACGTACTGTTCAGTGCGGTTTAAATATAGTCTATAACTATATGAACAATGAGATCATTTTGTACAGAGGGGATAAAGACAGAAGTCAAAGACGGGCTCGGTGGGATTTGAGGTTCAACTGCGTTTCCCTTCATTTTCACGTTTTTACTTGTACAAAAGCAAATTTGAGCAAAACGTTGGAATATAGCCACCATGGCAATTATATTAAATGGGTTTCCGTGTTCAAGTCATGCAGATCAACCAAAGCAGGATTTGGGAACTTTGTGGTTCCAGGTTCCTAACTTTAGTGGAGCTCAATAAAAAATAAAAAAACACTATTTGTTCAATTTATCTTGAAACATCAGCTAGCTTTTTGGATCCCAGTATGAGAAACCAGACTGTAAAACATTCATATCTCATGCGCCCCAAAACCCAATCACCTCAACTAGTACACATTCGGACTGCAGCAAATAAAATATTGATTTCTAGTTGTTTACGCTTGAAAACACGAGTTCTCCTCCAGTACAGATTTGAGATTGTTTCCCTTCCAGCACAAATGGAGCTTTTCTATTTTAAGATGTTTTTGTGGAATCAACAGAGTACTTGCAGCCTCAGCAGTGCACACAAATACAGAGTGGTCTGCAGTACAAAAATAACTGCTTCTTAATGATGCAGTTGGGCTTTAAGGAAGACATTTTAAAACACTCAGCCTGAGTCAGTTATGTCATTGCAAAGCCAATAAGAGGATGTAAATAAAAGGATGCCAACTAAGAGCATTCAGCTATTTACAGCATTTGTACAACATCAGCTTGAAGAAACAGGGCCTAAATACATAGAAAATTGTATATCAGAACAGCCAAACCAACACTTTACACAGCACATAAATTAATTCCCACAGGTATTCTTGTGTGGTAAAATACCACATGAAATAGTGCTGTAAATAAAGGCTATAATTGTAAAAGTTTTTCCTATTTAATAATATAATGAATAATGAATCAGAAATGCAGTAATGTTGTTTGGCTGTTGCTTGTAACAAACTAACTCACACTGTGATGCAACTTGTTTCAATGAAGGATGAAATCAATCATTTGATTTAGTCAGTTTGGGTTAGTAAAGAACATGAAGACAACCCAAGTAATGGATATTAAAATGCCACAGTGAAGCCACTTGAACACGTCGAAACTGACTTCAAGTTGTTACAAACAAGACATCTTTGTGTAGATCCTAAAATACTGCACTGGAACCCATCTTCAAGCAGCCTTATTGTACTCAATTCCTCAGTTGCTTTCAATATTTGGTTATGTAAAGGTGTCCTGACTTCAACATCGATGTATTAACGTGTGCTGGTACATGCAATCACAAATTCAACAGTAAAGGAAAAACAAAACAAATGAAATATGTATCAAAAGGATCAAATGATTAAACAGTTTATTTAAATGCCTATGAGGAAAAATATTCCAAATTCAGTCTTTTGGAGGGAATCAAATGTTATAACGGAATGATAATGTTCTTTCCCATTTCCTAAATGGGTTTAAATGTACTGAATTCACAGAGGATGTTTTTTAATTATAGCTCTGACAACAACAAACAAGTGTACAATAGAACACTACTATTGTTAAAGTATCTGTGGCTGTAAGCAAACCCTGATGAAAGACAGGCTGATCGGTATCACAACACACGAGTCAACGTCTTGTGTAATTACTGTCAGCAATTACAGAAACAAGGAGCTGAATTTAGAGGCGTTACCGCGGCAATGACTGAAATGTTCAGGTTTGACATACAAGACACAAGAGAAGGGGGACAGACAACTAACGACCCTCTGCACAATAATGACCGCTGATCACATGAAATCCTGCAGAATCGTCTTTGGCTGAAGCATTTGGCAATACAACAATAAATGCAGACATTACTGCGGGAAGAATTGTGACGTATCAATCACGTGTAGAGAAGGGAACAGGCGGATGAGTGTAACACAGATGATATGACCACATACATCGTGCACTGTGGGAGGACCCGTCTTACGACTAAGCTCGTGGATAAAAACACGCACACCACCATCTCTCCGAATTGCCTCCACAAATCTGTGTGTGAGGATAGGGCTCAATGAAGCCATCAAGTAAAAAAGGTGTATATTAGTGCAAATGTAAAAAGAGACCACGGTGGAAATGGTCATGGTGTGAACGAATAAAGCAGGGCAGACGAGTGTAGGCCCCTCGCGACACGCAGGACCAAATACAAATAGAAACAGGTTGCCAGTTTGTGCTCTTAACTTTCCTCATTCAAAATCATCATCTTGCATGTAAATCTTTGTGTCATGTCTGCATGTTTGGTTTGCATTAAAAAAACGCTAAAAGATAAACCATATTTTGTGGGTTGGAAACACGTTATATGAGTGGAGAGACTAAATATATGTGCGTGTTTGAATCGGATGCTGTGAAAACTTCGTAACAGCCTCCAATATACATGCAGATGCTCATTTATCCAAGTGTGTGTGTGCGTGTGTGTGTGTCTGTGAATAAGAGACAGACACAACAACATCTAGAGCTGCACATAACAGCTGTGGTGGGTTAATAGTGTTGAGTGCTGTGCTTGTGAGTGTGCGTTTGAACTGTGTAGAACTGTTGAGACGGTTTGAGAGGGAGACAATACTGTTGACAATGTTTGGACCGTTTTTCCTCGGGGAGGCTTCACATCTGGTCAGCCGGCCCTTGTGGATGTGTTCTGTGCCACATGTATGCCCAAACCCTACAGGCGTTTGGTTCTTCTCTTGTCTGAAAACATCTGGGTTATCATGCGTTTCTGCTTAAAATTCTTAAAGAGTTTCCAATGTGCTCTGAAGGCTTTTGTTTGGGCCCGTTGGGTTTGATGTTTGCGGTTTAAATGTGTCAGGGCTTTGATTGGGCTGGTCGAGCATGGTTCTTCGGCTGTTGCAGGAAGGGAGGCGGTACTGGTTGGGCTGGCAGTGTGGTTGGTTGATGTTTTTTTAGTGGGTCAAGCAAGAGGTTGTTTCAAGACCTTGGCTCAAGCAGTTTATGTAGAGATGTGTGTTCAGATGATATTGCTGATCATCTCACCACAAAGTGATGGAGGTTTTTGTCCAATAAAAAGGCAGCCGTGGAAGCATGCCATCCAAACTGCAGCCTGGACGTACTGTTCTGTGGTTTCTGGGCAAATTGAGTCACTGGATGGAAACAGGAAACAGCTGAGCACTATTTGAGCACAGAGAGCTTGATATTCTCACACCACCAAGACATTATTCCGATAGTTCCATCGACTGTCGACCATGTCACTGCATCCTGGTTCCTGGGATAGTCCGGGTTGGGTTGACTGTGGCGACCAGATGTTGTCTGATTGGGAGAGAGAGTCTCGGGGAGCCAGCAGGAAAGGTTGAATCGAACCCGGTGCTACTTGGTTATTCTGGATTCTGGTTGCGGTTCCGTTCAGTGAGTAGCATCTGAGCTTGGTAGGAATTACTTTGTTTCATCTGGTTTCGGTCTGCTTGGTAATGAATCTGGTGCTGGTTAGACATTCAGTCAGCAGAGATACTCGACTCAGGACAGGCCAGGATGGGATGAGGTTCTAGTTACTGATTCAGTGGGAACTGCTGCTGGACTCGGGTCGGGTTTGACTTGAGGTCCGATGAGCCCCATAAAGGGTCACGGATGCTATGTGGTTATTCTGCATCACCTGAGGAAGAGGGATACATAAAATATGTCTTAAAATTGGTATGCAGTTGAAAAATAAAGGAAAAACACATTTGTACATTACCACGGCCTAAATACCAAAATACACTTTTCAATTGCATTTAAAAAAATATTTGCAGTGTGACTCTCGCCAGATGAGGTAATCCAATGGTGATTGAGCCTACGGCCGCATTATGAATCAAAGCAGAGTTTTAAAATGTGCACTATAATAAATAGGGGGCCTACGGCAACGTTGCTGGAGAAAATCTTATATTACTGGTAATAATGAGGCATTTTTTGACAGTGTCTCAATTTGAAATATTGCAGTAGTAATGGAAGAAGACTGAGCTAAACTAAAGTGAGCGGCAATGATCGACAAAATTCCACCACAGGTGGCACACCGTCGACTTCAAGGCAGGGTTTCCAAGTACCTTTACCTTATGCAGTATAAAATGAGATGCCACTGCTCACCAAGTGATTGAAAAAGTGATTGCCTGACATCTTTATGCTTTGATGTCCCCTGTATTGTGGAACTTGTAGCATTAAACCACATTAGCCAAAGCCAAATCAATCAAGACTGACGGAAGGATTGCCAAAATAACTATAGTTTCACACATATTGTACACACTTGAATGGCTGCTGATGCTACAGTGTTCTGACCTCAAAGATCATCCTCTGCAGTCCAAAGCAGAACGTAGAGCCGAACGGGTTGGTGTTATTTGCTGATGAGGACCTATAAACACAAACATCTATTCAGAGCAGACACTCCCTTGAATAGCGTCCAAAAAAAACTGCCTATAAAAATGTTGCAGCTTGAATGTTATAAGCACAAACCAACAACATGGGCTAAAATGAAAATAATCTCATATACAAATATGATACACTGTCCGTTTCGATGCCAGAGGATGTGTTTGTACCTGTGGAGCACGACGGGTTTTTCCATCGGGTGACCGAGCAGCTCCTGAATCTGATCCCACTAGTGGAAAGAAAGTTTAACAGACCATTCAAGAGTCAACATCCAGGGAAGTGAACAATAAGGCTTATTAAGGGAACTACAACACGACTGTGGTTGTTTTTATCTTCAAACTGTTGTTTCCAATGGCAGAAGACACATTTTAACAGACCGCTGTGTAGTAAAGGAGACAGATATTGTCAATCCTCATATTATTACTGACCTAAAGATACAATTCCACATGATCTCCATTAGAAATTTCTTCATGCAACTTCTGTGCATTAGAGATTTTTAAGAGTATGAAAGTGATATCACACGAATAATGGGATGATTTCCTGTAGCCGCCAAAAAGGCGATAAAGAGTCCAAATTAGAAAGCTGAACTCAATAATAAGGAAACCCGGCCCAGACACCATGTTATGTTACATCGCCATATTGTCAAATGTCAACAAAGCAATTAGCTCTGACAAACAAACTCTGTGTAGAAGTGACCTTGCTGTTGGTTGTTAGCAGGCAGTCCTCCGTCTGAGAATCGGCTCCTTCTAGAGCGACACAAAGAAACTTGCATTACATGAGAGGATGATAAATAACAACATCATACTATCCCCACTGAGACAATAGTGGTTCATTCTTAAAGACATTTATGACTCACAAGTGTCTCACCTTTCTTAATGACGAGTGGAATCTTAAAGTCACATCGATGATATCTGTAATTGCAGAGAAAAAGCAATCAAAAGCATAGAAAAATTAGACTAAATGGGCCGAACTGCTGCAGTACTACTAGAGAAAAAAGGCCTAACCCGGCTTAATTTTAATTATTATTTTTCCATTAATTTATTGTCATTAAATAATTGTTCAACTTTCAACCCTTTATTTGCTTACAGGCCACACTGTGAAAATCCCTTTCCTCACTCACATGATTTCACATTGTATGCATTATATGGCAAGTTGAATTATTTTGGTTCATGATATGGTAAAAGCTTTGTTTCCTTCTTCATATATTAACTTAATACAGCTAAAGCCAGGGTTTGGATCGTGTGCAGTATTGCCAACTGTTGATGAAAAATATCTGGTATACTTAGTAAATGAATCATATCGAATGAAGGACACACAGAAACAAGTAACATGACAGATTACATATTGAAGTTGTAATGGCCGGGGTAGTTGGTGTGTAGAACAAACTTCTTAACCAGGTGAGTCGCAGAGTCAAACAGGATATCCTGAAAAATAAGAAAACACAACCCTTTAATATTGTTTGTGCGCTTATTGTTTGTTGAGACCCGCTCATTATAGTCCAATTAAGTCCAAACAGAGAAGCAAGTGGAGACATGCCAACCGCCATTCATGGTTACCACCCAGTATCAGAGAAGTCGTTTTCTCTTCTTGTTTAGAAGATCAGAACACCAACCGACGGGATATTTCAGCTCAATAAGACAAACAGACTTCACAATAACCAGAATAAGAATGTAGATTGTTGGGCTAAAAAACACTTGCTGATACAATTCAAATGTAATATAATTCAGCATTGGTATTTTCCATCAACTAAAAATCCCCTATGAAGTAGATTTCCTACAGTAGATGGCGGCCCTCGTGCACTTTGAGTGGAGAAGCGTTCAGAGGGACAGAAGCAGGCTGTCGGAGGCAAAACTACGTTTTGTTTTTTTTTTAGAAAAAGAGACTTTCAGGAGAGCATCGATGGACAGAACGGCTTCAGTGTCTTGTACGTCTAACTGCAATGAAACCGGGGAGATGATATTTAAAAATAGGCCGCAGACAGAAATGAACTGTACAAAATGATGCACACAAACGAGCCCAGGCCGGGATTACTCACCACTCCAAGGGTGAAGTAGTTGAAGAAGTAGTCGTTACATTTTGAAGGGACCTGCTTGTGAGGTGACGGAGAGTGGATCTTCATCTAGAACAAACAAGAACATATGAAGATGTAGAGGACCAATGTGTGGTTCCCTCGTCTTAACAATTTTAAATCTATATATAATAAATCTAAATAGATTTCCTCTTTATGATTGATTGATTAAAGATCATTGGCATAGCGCCAATGTCACAAGTAGTTCAAACAACAAATGGGAAGCTCTTCTACCTTGTCCTCGGACTTGTAGAAGACTTTATGCGGCGAGCCCAGAGCACCCAGTACATCCTGACACGAATCCCCAAAGGAGATGCTCCTTTCTAGGGATCTCACTTTTGAATCAGCCATCACACCAGGACCACAACCTGCACCCACATGACAGGAGAGCAGCAGAGGAACATGGTGAATCCAGATAAATGACAGAAAACCAAAAGTCATACGTCAGTGACATCGATCGTCTCCCTGAGAGTTGACAGCTGGAAAAAAAAAAAAATCTAATTTTAAAAATAGTTTTAAGATTCGAGATATTTGTTACCTGCGGTGAGAAGTCGGAGTTTAAGCCCCAGAGGCCCTGCAGCGTCTCTCAGGACATCAACGCTTTCTGCAAAGATGTTACCCAGGAAACAAGCCAACGGCATCGCGGGAGCCCTGAGGACACAGAGTTCACTTCATTTTTTGCCACAAAATAATCTTAGTTTTCGAAGTAGCCAAAGAAAACAAAACCAAGATCACGCTTGTGCTTATTGGTCAATATTTAGAAAAAACATGCAACTTTTTTTTGTATTCTCGGTTTACTGCAGAGGCAAAAATAGAAATTCTCTTACATAACTTGCAAAACAAGCAAAGGTTTGCTAATAGTGTGCATGCAATTAAAACAGTTATCTTCACAACGTCTAGGTAGCACAGTGTTGCTTTGCTAATTGAAGTATTCCTTCAACCAATGGTCCCAAGTTTGCTCAAACGCTGCCAAAACGTCTTTAGGTCATCAGATTTCTTAGTTAGTAAATGTTTGCTGGATAGTTTTAATGTGTTAAGAGCTTCCGTGTTTCCATTACCATCTATTTTTATAATTATAAACTGTGGACTTTTTGGCGAAGGTATGTCCTCTGCAAGTGACGTCCAGTTTGTGGATCTGCACGTGTGTGCATGTTACCTTGTTTCCTGCAGGTTGTTGCCGGTGTAGATGTGCATCCTCTTGACCATGGCGCCATGTGGAATCTGCAGGGAGGCCACATGGCAAAATTAGGCTGCCGAGGCAAAACAACTGGGAGTAGTCTTGGACTGGCATACATTGCATTTCTGTGTGCACATTAGCTAACAGTACTCAAATACATTTTCAGTATATTTCCATACATGGAGATGTGATCATTCTGTTGTAACACTAAGACGGACCTAAATGTAGGTCGAGACGTAAACACCGTTAATCTGAGAAAGGTCCAACATCAAATCAAAAAGTAAAAAAGAAAATCCTTACAAATATGGCAAAGACCGAGGGGTTGTATTATACTCTGAGCGCAATGCAATATTAACCTTTCAACGTTATATTTATTCTCAGAGCAGAGCATCAGTTTTATCCAAAAGGAAAAATGCACATTCTACTAACATTTTGGACAAGAAAGTACAGCGGAGTGTTTAGCTTTAGAGGCCCAACCTACAACAACACAAGCACAAGCTGTTGTTTCAGTAAAACAAACAAAACTATTTAAGCAACCCAGCAGGCAGCTGAAGATGGGTTTAAAAGTTGAAGGAAATAATGTATTCACTAAGATACCACAGATATTGGAGGAGCAGAAGGGCTAAACTAAAATTATGTTATTAACTACAAAAAGAGGATAAAAGAGAGAAGAAGAGAGAAGTAGAAACATTATGTGGGACATGTGCCTTCACAGGAGCATAAATGCAGAATAGAGCAGACGGTGGAGCAGCTGGTCCGTAACATGCATCACAAACGACATCCACAGCTGCACAGTACAAACAGTAAAACATCCGTCTAGTTAAACAGACCTCAATCCAAAATCAAATCCACTAAAGGCAGTAACGTGCAACACTTTACATATGTATAAACAGGGGGCCCGAGGATCGAGAATTAAACATGACGATGTCATATTGCCTGGAAAATTTGAAGCCGCTGGGAGTCAAGAATTCAATCATTAACTGGTGTTGAGCTAACGTCCCTGAACCGCTACTGCAGCCAGGTTTTCACCGTTTACATAACAGCGCAATGTGTCTGACTTCTCAACAGAATAACCTGCATGACACGGTGAAGAGCTGCAGCTCCATCAGCACTCCAGTCAGTTAAAAGCTGCTCGTCCCGATCATGGTTTCTACTATGCGTGATGCGTGTTGCTTTGCATTGCGTGTTCTTTTCACCACTTTTGTATTATGTCTTGCACCCTGTACGATTTGTTATTGGGTGATTCTTATTATAAACCCGCTAACAGACTACACATGCAAAGTAGCTGTAGCTACAAAGCCATAATGTGGTACCGTGCATCAACTGGTGACATTTATGTTTTAACTGTACATTGTGCCTTTTAAAAGAAACTGATTAAATGAACACTGGGATTCTTAAATCATTTTTAAATCTGCCACGGTTCCTTTTAATGATTCAGAATCTGCCGCTACAGTTCGGCACCCTGAGTTATGCTGAGGATCACTTTTAATAACATTTAACAAAAGTGACAAAGAATCCGATGGAATAAAGATTAACAAGCAGACATTCACATTCTCATATGGTTTCTTCATTCGGGCGTTATTAGTCACCACGAACAAGCTGACAAAAGGACTCGCTCAAGGCAAACACAAGGCATGACCTCACACTTTTCCATACAAAGAGTTATCACTTCCACCACGAGGCCGCCTCCATTCTCCTGGGAGGTGAGCGAACGACCTCACAGCCGTTCTATAAATGGCTGGCAATTAAAATGTGTTCTCACCTCGTATTTTGGAGCTTCATTCCATGAGTCCAGTTGAAAGGAAAAGGACAGGCCTCGAAAGTTGAGATGGAACAGCTGTTCTGCAGCGTTGTAAACTGGACGCGGGAGAACCAGGCAGAAGGATTGGATGAAAGAAGATAATGAGATCACAGAGCCGGTTCATTCGTGAGATATTGTGTTTGTGTTAATGGGTTGAAAAGTACCTCCGGGGTGCGTGGCTCCAAATGACTGGTCTATTTGCTCTATTGTGGGGGCAATGGCCTGAGAGTTGAAATGGACTCCACTGAAACACAACACAAACAGCCAGTGTTACACATATATTAGACCGCACACAGGACGCGTCAGAACTACTTTGCAGAGACATTTGTACTGTAAGACAACCGTAAAAGAGTTAAAGAAGCAGATTAACAAAGACGGACATTTCAGTGAGATGTTTCACTGAGTTGATGTATATCCGAGAGGACACAGATACTTGAGAACTGTCTTCGTGGTAACGTAAAATACAATGACCAATAAATGGCCCAGTGCCTGTAAGGTAAAGTCCACATAACAAGGTGATTACTTGCTGACTCAGTCGTCTTTTAACAAGTTTCTAACGGTTCCATTTAATGTTGCCATCGTAATATCTACTCACCAGTATTTCAACTTGACCTTGCTCAGGTCGTACACTTCAATCACCTGTCCCGCAGAAAGATAAAGAAAGTTAGGGTACAAAATAAAATGGTCAATTAGATCTCGATAGCAAGGTCAGGAGTCTAATGTATCCGTCAGATTCTGCTTCGAAATAGCTGAGGAGAAATATCAACAGTTCTTTCTCCTTAATGTCTGAAGAACAACTACAGGTTTTTCACTGTGCATTTCTACCCAATATTAAAAGAAAAGTTGTATTCACGCCCTGATCGTATTGAGAACAGTGTTAATTTCGTCGACGAAAACTATGACGAAAATTTTTCGTTAACGATATGGAAGTAAATCTGTGTCATCGGATTTTGAAAGAAAAAGGTGATTGAATTTCTAGCACTGAATATTTATGCATTGAAATCATGTATCTGAATGTTTTTCAACGTTAAAATATTCAACTGCAAAAAATTCAACCGCAAATAATTCAACCGCAAAAAAATTCAATGCAAAAAAATACGAACCGCAACATCCGGGAACCCAAGGAAGAGCAATCGATTCTAGATTCAAGCTTCTCCAAACACGTCTAACGTAATAAACTCATTGCAGGTTCTGAAGCCAAGAAAATTATGTATTGCAACGATTGTAGGACGTTGAGGTCTCTTTTGTTGGGACAGTGGAAACAATAAAGGACCAAGTTTCCAGTGGCCATGTCAAAAGCATTGCAAGTAAATGGACTGTACTTGTATAGCGCTTTTCTAGTCTTCCGACCACTCAAAGCGCTTTAACACTACATGACATCATTCACCCATTCACACCCATTCATACACTGATGACAGGAGAACCATACACAGTGACACCTGCCATCAGTAACTACAATTCATACGCTGTAGTCGCAGCTACAGGAGCAATGTTGGGTTAAGTGTCTTGGTCAAGGACACATCGACATGCGGGTTAGCAGAGCCTGGGATCGAACCCACAACCCTCTGATTGGAGGACGACCGTGCTCCCCACTCACCCACAGTCGCCCAAGTAAACAGACAAAGACAACAAAGTGTTGCGTTTAGATCCCTGGTCCTCATGAAGTTGTTACACCTTTGCCAATTTGTTAAATTGCCTTGCAAATAAATGCTTTGCTATTTGTTAAAATCCAAATCCTTTCATGTAATGATTTTTCACATGTCATTTATATTGGCTCACACAAACACTTGAACCGTTTGTTCTTGGCCCGGCTCCTCCGTCACATTTTACAACCCATTGTGGCCCGCAAGTCAAAAAGTTTGCCGACCGCTGCTATAGACCTGTCCTATGAGGGACAGCTGATGGACAACCAAGTACTGCAAGCTAGACTATTATGCAGCTGTAGACACACCACAGGGTGTCCCTGGGCCTGAGAAGGGAAGAAAATTAGTTTAATATGGCTATTAAGTGTGAAACTAGACTAAAACAATTACATTTTAGTCTAGTTTTCGTCGACGAAAAACTAGACTAAAACTAAGAAGGATTAAAATGACTAAATGTGACTAAAACTAATATGCATTTTTCGTCTGAAGACTAAGACTAAATCAAAAATAGCTGCCGAAATTAACAGTGATTGAGAACCTCTTTTAATGTGTCAAATAGAAAACTCAGATTTTATGGCAGCAAAAACACCATTAGCCAAATAAAGATACAGTGAAGTAATGTTTACAGCAACAGAGAATGACATCGCTTTTTTTACTGAGGTGTCCCAGCAGTGTGAGTCCCAGTTTGTGCGTGCGTGCGCCCTACTGGCCATCCAATGGCCTCTCATACGCAGCCTGCGGTTGATAAGGACCCACGGCATGGACCTGCATGCATAAAGGCTTCCCTTCGGTTGGAATTTTGCACCTTCAAGACTCAACAATCAACAATGTTCACCTTGAGTCTCTGATTGGTGGCATCAAAGAGCAGTTTGATCCCATCCTGAGTCAGGTTCAGTATGAGGTCATGGCTGAGTGGTGTCTGGAGCAGAAACAAACTAATGAATTAACAGAGAAGCCCCCATGAAGAGGAGGCATGCAGAAAGACAAACATTCACAATATTTCATATTCGGCAGCATACATGTTAATACAAACTACTTCTAGTTGTTGTTCAAGAAATGTTCAATCAAAGAATTGCTGTGCAGTGCTGTAATAAAACCAACATTAACTTCAGTTATCACCTAAAAGATTGAACTGCACGCTACATTGGGATTATTAAACAAGCGGATGTTGTGTGACAGTGACAGAAAGAGGAGATAATGTAGACAGAAATCTGGTCCTCTCACCTGTTCACTGTATAGCACCTGCACATTTTTGATGATGCGGCAGTGTTTCTGCAGAATAGCGATGGCCTGGGCCAACGGCATCCCTGGAAACGTAGACGTCCAAGCACACAAATGAAGAGGAGCAACTGTTTTTCCTTATTGAACTCCAGTCGGCTACAGTTATCCACAACATGCAAGGAATATCATTTCAATCGGGGCTTAAATGTTGCATTAACGACAGTTATCGTCTCAGGTCTCGTTCTCCTAAATGTGAAACGCTGTAAAACTCACCTAAGGCGAATTCCCATTGCTCATTTCCCAGTGATCTCTCCGGCACCACCTCAAGGTCCAGCATTGGCAAGTAGTGGGGGGCCGCTCACCTCAGGACACGATGGGGCCCTGTGAGGGACCCTTTCTCCTCGCCGGTCGGTCCCGGACCACAGCGCAGTCTCAGTAGTTTGATGACTATTTCAATTCATAACTAGCTACTTTTTACCCACTTGTGAGCATCTAACAGCTACTCAAACTACGGTTTACAGTAATAGGCGGCCAGTTTATCACATGTCATAGGTTATTAAAGAAATAAAATGAAAACAAAAAAAGTGTTAGGTTATAAACAGCAGTCAGTGAGACCTGACAGCTTGCACACAAACAGATGATGCGACCTGCACGCCAAGCTGAACCTACAAGGGCAGCTTGTAAGTGACCCGTTTACCAGTTGTGGTGGTTTTAAATCGATATCTAATTAGATTAATTCCCTCGATTCAACTTCAGGAATGAACAGACGTGTTCAACAGACACACTTCTCACACATGCTCCGATGTAACATCATCTGTCTGGTCTCCAAACAGACCGACTGACCCAGTGATAAGACACCTGAAAAACGAAAGAAAAGAAAACAGGGTGTCGAAGCCCGAGTATCGTCGCTGTTTGTCTCTGTCGCTGTTTGTCCCAGTCGGGCGGTTACGAAAGCAGCAAAGCTCCAACGCCGTTTATCTGCGCCAACGTTATTTTAGGAGCTAGCTGCTCCTGCGCGTCACGGGAATAAAGTAGGAACATAAATAACGGTCGTGCAGAAAACGATTCTAGATCGGAGGCAAACAAAAGAAATGTCGCGGTTCAGACAGTCGCGACGTAAACAAAGAGAGCTGATTGCGGTCTCGCCGTCTTCCTTTTAACCCGCTTCCAGGCTTCGGGGCTTCCTGCGCTTTTCCACGTAACTCGTGAACTCGCCTGCCGGTAAAAGCCCGACGCGTCCTCTGCTCGGCTTTAGTTTGTCTCCAACGTCAGGCGCTGATAAGAGCAACACAGCGGCCAAACAGCAGCAACTTCAGGCATCAACAACAGCCAGCCGGGTCAGCTGATAATTCAACTTCCGGTGTGGACGCGACATTTCTTTACGTGATGACGTCACGGTCAGTTTATGCAGACGGCGTTTGAAAACGTGCTCAATTGACAAAAACGCAAGAGACCGCAACCCACTTTAAACGTTATTATTGTACTACGATTAAATCTACCCAGTTCCCCATTATTTAATTTCTAATTGTTCAGTTGACCAAAGAACTGTTTGCTATATTATATTTACTGTAATTCATCCATACCTTCATGATTATATATATTTAAATGGGAAAAAGCCAACCGCAAAACACAAATCAAACTCTTCTTTGAGGCCAATGAGAGTTATTGGCCAGTTTTTTTTTTAGTCTGCAATTAATTAATACATTATGGAGCCTAAGAAGAAATAAGCAAGGTTTAAGAAGTATCTGTGCAAATGTATTTGATGAATTTACATTCAGACCTGAAAACAAGAATGATCCATCAAGCCAGCACTTCGCTCCACTTCCCTCCTGGCTGGATGGAGAACAGGCGGCCCCTCTGGAATTAAGACTTCAGCTATAGATGAGTTCACATATGAGGTTTCATGTGAAGAAAGCGTAAAATAAATTTGTATCCAACACCCAAATGGATGTGCTCAGAAAAATAATAAGTTGTTTGACTTAATAATTGCACAAATTGGAAAAAAACACACATGTTAACTAATCAAGTCCCCACAGTGCACCGTCCTGTGTACTAAAGCACATGTTTCCACTAAAAACATCTGAATAAAATGCATGAATTCATACATATTTATTAGCAAAAACAACAATTTGAATTGAATATCTCATATTTCTGGTTCCTCTAAGAGGAAAAGCTTAACCTTAAACAGAGAGAAAGGCAGACCACACAAACAGAAATAAGAAACGTCCAGGAAGAGTGAAATGCTTCTTTGGATCTCTAAATAAAACCTACGTATAAATAGTTGAAACAAAAATAGAGAAACAGAAAGAAAATGTTTGTGGTTTATGGTTTTCTTTTTTGCCTTAATGCCTGCATTAAGAGAATCGAGGGACAGAGTATTGACTAATACATGGGAAACCTAAATAATATTAGGTGTAGAAAGGGCGATAAATTGTGGTCATTTCTGATCCAAAAGTTCTGAATTTAGTAGATCTGTTGGGAAAGCGAGCTTGTTTGACCATTGATGGATCCATTTGTAGTACATAAATACCAATTAATTCATTAGATTTCTAAAAACACACAGTACTCACTGTATCTCAGGGGTATCTCACCTCTCGTTGTACTGGTTTATTACCAATGCTCCATCAGTTCCCACTGGTTCAAAGATAACTATGGCTTGAATTCATGTCATACAATGAATCCGGAGATGGTCAGTCGTGGAAACAAAACATCCACTCCACATGTAAATCTATACCATCTATCACTACACGTTCTAATGCCTTCCTCTTGTCTCTGCCTCACCTCACCGCCTCATTCCTGATCTTTATTGCCACTTCAAAAGCATTTAAGCTTCTCTCTAATGTTCTCTGAAAATATCTAATGAATAAAAGAAAGTGAATTCCTGGTTAGAGGTTATCTGAATGAAGTCTTATTTAGGATGAAATACCTGCATTGTTTTGTTGCTGTGCCTCAAGTTTAAAAATTTGTGTTTCTGTTAGGGAGCCGACGGGAAACATATCTGTTACAATTTTAACTTGCGACCTTTCTATTTCGTTCTCTTGCAATTTTAAAATGGTATTCTTGTGGTACCAAATTCATCATGGACTATTATCTTTTTAACTTTAATTTTACTATTATCCATCACGTATTATAAAATGTTGCCTCAACAAAATACTTAATACGTCAGTCAGGGAAAAGAAAAGCATGAATAATTAACCATTTTTCTTTGTTATAATAATTACACTGGAAAATAAAATGAGCCCCTAGTTGCGCAATACAAAAATAAAAGTGTTTGAGTCTATCCACATTCAATGTATTTATCCCAAGAAGTGCCTTTCCTTAAAAAAAGGCCATCAGAATAACATTCATACATAAAACACAAAATAATGAAAAACTCAAGCAACAAAAGTCCTACATTTCATTTTGTAATTTTCAACCTAGTTTGACATAAAAAGGCTACAGCTGCTACTACTAGTCCATAAGAAGCTGACAGATGACCATAAATGGATACAACAGAGGTGAGAAGTAATACAAAAAGTAAACATCATGACTTACACACAAACAACATGATAAGATAACAAAACATACTGTTTCATAGTGCTGTAACAGGACAGGGAATTGTATCTCAACTGTATTCAGGCTTTTACAGTCCTTCAATGATGAAGCATAACTGGGAGATTGATCGATCGATAGATGGATTCTGTATTGGAACTGTGGAACTGTATTGCATCGGTTACATGACTTGTACATGCCTTTACAATCTAAAGCCAAAAACATATTACAGTGGATTTCAATTCAAAATTGTTGGGGTTCATTTCTGTCTGAAATTCACTTCGGATCACAAGTGCACCCGAGTGACACCACCCGAGTGACACCACCAGAGTGACACCACCCGGCTTCACACGGGGCCTCGGATCACACGTGGCCTCGGATCGCTGTGAAAAAAGTGCTCACCTGTCAACAGGCTGCACATTGGCAACAATGGAGGCCTGTTTGGTTTCACGCCCACAAAGAAAAGCCGTGAGGAGAATAAGTCTGATTGTATCACACGGTGCAAACCTCCCACCCGGGACTCAGCGTCGTTGAATTGACCCCTACGCCCGCCCCACAAAATCGTTTTCAGATTGCTTCCAGATGCAAAGACAGCAGAGTTTGTAGCAGTTTTCTTTGTTATCCGTCGGGCTTTGAGGTTGTTGCTACAGGAACCGTGGTTCTGCCGTCACGGGCCTCTCACCACAGAGAGCTTTCAAACGCGTTGTGAACTTTATAGTACAGTAAATACTAATTAACCCTAAAACTTGGTACAATAGTCTCTGGATGCCCACCTCGTATCTGCCCCCATGAATGTGACTCAGTTTAGCCTATTTTCATCCCTCTCCCCTTTCCAGCACGCACGCTTTGGTCTGAGAAAACAGCAGGTGTCAGGAAGAGTGCGCAGTGTAGTCGGCCCTGTTCTCAAAGCAAACGCTACTTTTCTTTTTGCCAATCAAACTGTCAACACCTCCCTTTTGATTCATGCTCTTGAACGTGACCCTCTCTCTTCTCTCTGCTCCCCCAAGCTTTTGTCTTTTCTCACCCGCCACCACCCGTCTCCCTCTATTTTGCAACATTTTATATCCATAGAAAATATACTTTTGGTATTTCAATCCAACCCTGTCAATTCATTTAAAAAAATTGCTACTTTATATGTCTGAAACTCATGTTCAAATGTATCCAACTTGTTTTGTTCACAAGTCCTTTGTGTATTTTTAACTGTTAATCCTTCTGTTTTAGTGCTTGGTTCACTTCTAATTCAATCAATACGCAAGGTTTTTTTTCTCCTACACTTAAACATAAAAAAATATTTGGTGAGTTAAAATGATGAACAATTTGTCAACAATTGACTCGTTATCAGTTGACTGTATTCAAAATGAAAGGACAGCCAGCCCTGTTTTTCTCCTCTTCCTCTTTTCACTACTTCGTCATCCTCTTCCTCCTCAGCGCATCTTGTGTTCCACGTCAGCGTCGGCCATGTTTGAGCCAGGGCTGGGGTCCTGCTGTCGTCTGCACTGGGGGGAGAGAGGTAGAAGGGTGAAAGAAGGAGGAGAGGAGAGGAGCGGAGAGGAGACGTCAGGAAGAGAACATTGTGAAAGAAAGGGATCAGAGACAAAGAGACAATACGTTAAGTACAGTTAACAGGTTTAGGACAGATGATAAAACTTGACTTGAACATTATGTTTAAATATCCATATAAGTGTTAGACACATAGTCAAACATATATTTTACATGTTGTTACAGTTGATTCATGTATCAATTGTTCCCAAGTTATTAAACCTTTATAGGAGCAGTTGACAAAATAAACATGTAATTATCACAACTCTATATTAGTGCTGATTACCAACTGCATATAAATTACTTACAAATAAAATCGTAGCTCAAACGTTATGGACCAAAATGTGAAAACAATTGTTATTAAGGAATCTACAACTATTAACAAAAAAAAGAAGTTGTAGTTCCAGAAACCGCCGCTAGGGGGGGGTCGGAGAACTCTATGATGGCTGTGTGCTCTCTCTACTGATGTTGATATTTTAGTCAAGGTGTGGGAGACAGACCGGCAGACAGACAGGCAGACAGACAGATAAACTGGCAGACACCGATAAGCAGACCCACTTTCACACCAAGGGGATCATTAGGTCATCATTAGGAGTCTTCAGTATGACAAGACCTTTAAATATATATTTCAGGACTGGGTGTGTCTGTGAGCCCGAGCTGCTCCCATTGTAAAAAAACAAAAACGCCTTTTTATGCAGAGCTGACAGAAATGTTGACACAGATAGTAAATGAGTTACTTAATTCGACTGGAATGTAGTTTGTGTCATCTCAATGACTCACCATGATAGCAACACACACACACACACACACACACACAGATCCACACACACACACATGCAGTGTGTCATACTTCCATTTTGACTTCTAAAAGCCAGACTGACTCCACTCTCCTCTGGGAAGTTGTATCTTTATCAAAGCTGCTGCTTTCATATACACGTATAGATATAATTAGGATTTAATGTGGCGCCACAATGAAACAACTGCCTCCCATAGTATTGATCGGCATCAGACCCATGTACACAGTCTGGCAGTTATGGCAAATTTACAATTTACTAATTGTCATATTCATTTTAATGTGGGGTCTATGGGTTGGTAACTCCATCCATCTGTTGTCAAACCGCTTATCCTGCACACAGGGTTGCGGGGGGGCTGGAGTCCATCCCAGCCAACTTCGGGTGATAGGGTTGGTAACTGAGTTTCCTTATTTATGTTTTATTTCCTTTATCAATGTAGTCTTTGTTTTCTTGTTTATTTGTATATATGTCAAATTCCATGTATGCGTAAGTAAACAATTAATCATTTTCTTTTTACACCTATGTTTGAAATGTCAAAGCGTCTGCTGTGAGAAAGCAGCATTCCGCGTTGTGCTTCACTTCACATGTGTTCATTACGTGTGCTCAGCGGAAACAAAGGGAAATATAAACCAACCACATGAGCACCGGGTTATCTGTTTACAATTTACTAGTTGTTATCAGTTGTGCACGTTACTCCAGTGTTCGGAGTGATTTCAAATGCACTGCAGATTCCGTGAAGACACGCGGACACAGAGGGCTCTGTGCTGTTTCCACTCAGCACTGTTGCTGCTGTAGCATCGCGGCTGCATGGTCCTGGTCTTCGGGGAGGGGGGTCTTTGCTAATCATGAGGGCCGGAGAGCTTTCTGTATTGATCCATATGGAGATGGAAGCCTGCTGGGCCACGATAGGCTGCTTAACCACAACTCAATACTGGAGAAGAGTGTGTGTTTGTGTGTCAAGGGACAAACTTAGAGATTTGCTATAACTGCCAGACTGTGTACATGTGACTGTGCACAATTTGAATGTGTGTGTGTGTAAGTCAAAGCAGGGGGGTCTGATGCCGATCAATACTAATGATATATTAATGCTTTCAGTGCCAGCTCATCATTCACCACCAAATCTCATTCTGCTGAGCACTTGGAGAAGTGTGTGTGTGTGTGTGTGAGAGAGAGTGTGTGGTTCAAAAACACACTTCTTCCAGATCAATCCTTTCCCCATCCATCATCCTGTCAGGTACCTTCTGACCTTGACTGAGTGGAATTTCACTTGTTTTTGGATTAAAAATCTTGTATCTGCCTAAATGACGAGGCTTCAGGGACTGAAGAGGAAACAGCTTCATAATCTGTGAACACGCAGTAAATAAAAACGCTTCCCTGTTTTACCGTGTGAAACGTTCACAAGCCGAAGTTTAAAGAGGTTTCAAGCCTAATTTCAATTGATTATATAGCAAGCTGTCACCGAATATCTTAAAAATGACTTATAGCCTGTTTTACAGTGAGAAAGTTTTAGTTTAGGTTATTTTATGATGGTGAAAACGATTTGTGTCAATTTCATTCTAAATGTTACACATTGTATCCCAGCAGCTCCGCAAATTAAACTCAAATCGTACTTTTCAAAAATGTCATTATTTATGCACAAGGCAAGGATGATAAAAGCATGACTGCACCACAGAATAACTGTCTGCCGGCCCCTTTATCCCATAACTTCCTCTCTCTGCACTCTCCCATTCACACTTAGTTCATCGTGCCGCGCTTTTGCATTTCTGCTTCTCTGCCTGATCATATTATTGATTTATAGCAGCACAGATGAAAATCCAGGCTTTAAGTATAGGGGAAATCATTTAACTTTACAAATAAAATATAGCAGAGCAGCGCACTTATTCCTCTCGGAATGGATTAGCACAGTCTGATAATGGCTTTGGGGAATGCTTCTTTACAGCGAGTCGACCCACAAATGTGCTCCCTTTGCAGAAACAAGAATCACTTCTTTGGTGTTTTAATTTGCCTGCATTCATCAGAAAGGTCAGGGAGTGAACGAAAGGCAAGAGATTGGTTTGAGAAAAAGAGCACACGGAGGCAGTGAGAAAAACTAAATATGAACTTCTGTTAAGTTGAAGATATCATTGAGAAAAATAAAACAGTGTCTATGTTTTTGTTTTGCTGAATATTGTTTGTTAAAGAGGATTAGTTGGACTATAAACAGCAGCAGGTTAGCTGAGTGTAGCAAAAAAAACCAGGAAGCACTAAAAACAGGAAGTGGGGGGAAACAGCCGGCAATGAGACCAAAGCGTAACTGGCCACAGTCCCCATTTTTTATCAGTGCCAAATCTAAGTGTGTGTGTGTGTTTTAGGGGATAGTGATGCTATTTGTATTGATCCAGGAGGAGACGCAGGTTTTCGTTTTCCGCCCCGTTGCCTCAGGCAGGAAACATGAGATCAGTCAGATGAAAGACGACCTTCACTAAATGCCCCTCTCCCTTTTCTCCCCCCACTTTCCTTCTAACCGCTCGGTTTTCTTCACGGTCTTTTTCCTTTCTCTCTCTTTGTGCGGTCCGTGTGCTGCAAGCCTGTGGTAGGTGTTGCTGCTGCTGATGTTGATGATGTGTGTGTGTGTGTCATTTTACAAACTAGCTGTGAAATGGGTACAAACATCTTGCAGTTTCTCTCTCTTACGACCCACTAGAGTGGTCAGATATTATGGTCATGAAATTGGTTAGAAGTGGGTGCATATTCATGGACAACCGGCAAAATGACAACAACAACATTCGTAACACTTTGTAAAAATAAAGTCAAAAAACGCTGCCTGTGCTCCCACACAGAAAGTAACAACATGAGTGCACATACATAGCAAACATTTGGACACACATAGTCGCAAACACAAACGCACACATACGCACACACAAACAGGGTGGCTTAGTGCATGACAGTGCGATAGATGGTAAGAAATGAAGTACACAGACCCTGTTCTTTTCTGCTGGCTGTCTGTGTGTCATCAGTCCCAGATTTTAGAAACCACAGGGTCCTAAAAAATAAACAATTTGAGGTTCACTTGTAACTTGTTCAACTTAGGAAGGATTGATCTCCCCAAAGCCTTGTTGGGAAAAGTAGTTGGTTTCCAGTTTGGGACAGTCACAATGTTGTATAGATTTGTGAATTTGAGAATAATTTAAAAACAGATCCTATAACAATTTAGTTGGCACAAAGTAAATCGACTACTTTCCAATCAGAGGCTTTTGGGAGACCTGAAAAGTTGTGTTTAGTCATTCAATAGCTCAATAAAATCAAATCAATTACCTGATTAGTTTTATTGTCAAACTGATCATGCACTGAACCTACGATTCAAACTGTAAAAAAAAGCTACAATAATAAAATAACAGATTGTAAAAGCACACAGCCACACGTCACACAACCCAAACCCACACAAGCGCTGGGCAAAGAGAAGGCAACTGGAAATTTGACTCTGCGAGTAGAAATACCTAATTATAGAAGAAATGCAGGACACGGTTGCGTTAAGACTAAATAAGAATGTAAAATTGTCCCGTAACTCATAATTTTACTTTGACATTCCTCATTCCAGAGATCCAGATCATAGCGTGCAAGCTAAATGTAGCTCGTTCTAAAACTGTGAATTTGTAAACCTTGAAGCTTATTTGCTAATTTCCAGTTGGGTCCAGCCTAGCAAAGCCAGCTGCTAAACTTAAGATTTCGCTTTGCACATTCTAAAGCAGCAGCACAAGAAGAGAAGTAAGAGCTTGAGTCTGACGTCGACATGAGCCCTCTTTGGCTGGATGAACGATGGATGAGCTTGAACGTTTGTGGTCTTTGCCTCCCGTTCTCAAACAGAAGACAGGATCACGTGGGAATGTCTTACAAATTATTATTATTATTATCTTCTTATCTACGGTGGTTACTAAACAATGTCAATTCTACACACTAGACTAGAGTCTGGATCCTACATATAGGCTGGCTGTGCATGGCTATGTCTTCTCCAGAGGAAGCACATCTGTCCTGTTACAGATAACCTGACCAGTAACATGGTCACTTTTTTTTTAAATGGCAGACCAACATCGACAAACACAAACTCCACCGTGTCAGGCCGCTCTCACCTCTAGATCCTCTCTGTGCGATCGGTCTCTGTCTTCAAAGTCTCGGGTTCTGCGCCGGGCCTCTTCAAACGCCGCCTGGGCCAAAGCGTCCTCCTGCTGCACACAGGCACACACATAGAGAGTGAGTGTCGTCTAAAAAAGGCAAACATAATACATCCCTCTGTTTGTGTATGTGTGTTGTGTTACCTGCGCCCGCTCCTCGTCGTACTCTAGGTATCCCATCCCATCCAGCCTCTGCAGGTCGATCCAGCCTCGCCACATCACACACACACCGTTCAAAATCATGGGAGCCTTCAGGTAGACCTGGTGGGAAAGAGAGGGGCTGTATTTCACATCCTGCAACGGTTTTTGAAATCATTCCGGGAAAAAAGACCTGATGAACTCTTCAGTAAATTTTGCAGTAAATTTTGCAATTTTGCAAAAATGTTGCAATTTTATAGTAAAGTTTGTAAACACTAAGGTGTAAGCAAAGAGCAAAAAGCTAAATAGGAAATGGTGAACACAATTCAAGAGGAGACTTTCTGTGTCCAATTTCTTTGGAAAAACACCCATGTGCATGTTCTGCACATGGGTGTTGAGCTTAGTGTGTTTCCATGAGTGTGTGTAGATACATGTTAGTCAGGTAGAAAAGTAATCATTGTATGGACTAAGTGGATAAATATACATGTGTGTATGTGTCCATCCATCCATCGTCAAACCGCTTATCCTGGTCGCGGGGGGGCTGGAGTCCATCCCAGCCAACTTCGGGCAATAGACAGGGTACACCCTGGATTGGTCACCAGCCAATCGCAGGGCTAACACAGAGACACACAACCATTCACACTCACATTCACACATCTACGGGCAATTTAAAGTCCCCAATTAACCTGATCCCCAGAGCATGTCTTTGGACCGTGGGAGGAAGCCTGAGTACCCAGAGAGAACCCACGCAGACACGGGGAGAACATGCAGACTCCACACAGAAAGGCCACTGGGCAGAATCGGACCCAGGAACTTCTTGCTGTGAGGCGACAGTGCTAACCACCACGCCACCGTGCCACCCTGTGTGTATGTGTGTAAATCTTAAATGACGATAACCAGCGGTTGTGACTTACTCGAGAGGTGTGTTCACACACTGGCAGACAGATATGACTTGTTTTATTTTGGCATAATACCACCTCAGTTCTCACAGGTGTTCAGTTTGACCCAATATAACAAATAAGCTACAAAAAACATCAGCAGGCTGAACAACAGTTCACAGTACATCTGTCTCCTTCGACGTGGTGTCTATCTGCCAGACGGCTTTAGCTAAAAGAATAGACTGGACTTTTTCCACTTGTCCAGAAACTGAATCCAAATACGGACCCCGTCTTACTGTAACAATGCTATAGGTAGCATTCAAACTCTGACGTATGAACTTCTCTTTCAGCTAAAGAATTTAATCAAAAGCCCGATAAAGCAGGTTACAGTAAATATAGGGTTCGCTTTCATTATTTTTATTCTCTTTTTCTCAGTTTTCTCCATTCCCACATATTTTATTTCTCCAGACTAGAAGACATACACAGTGAAACACAGACAGCCTGTGACACAGTTTGTTTCCCATGGTTTTAGGTTGTATTTTCATCTGAATAAACAAGTATTGAGGAATAAATGAGTAAAAGGCATAAACACTCAGAAGATGCACACATACGCACTGAATTTGTCTCTGTGAGAAAAGCTCCACGTTCCTGCATTTTTACACTGGCTATTTTTGGACAGACCCTCACAGGGACCTCTTTTACCACAGCTACCCACAATGCACCGGGGTTGCAGGGGAGGCTACGCTCTAACAGAATGTGTTTTTTTGTGTTTATTTGAGTGAATGTTTTTCTGTGTGACTATGTTAGGGAGAGAGAGAGAGAGAGAGAGAGAGAGAGAGAGAGAGAGAGAGAGAGAGAGAGAGAGATGGCTTCCACATCTGTGGGGCTGCGTGGTGCTTTTGAAAGAAAGCTTCATTTGGCTTGGTAATATGTGTGTGTGTGTGTCTGTGGGTGTGTGTGAGGGGAAAATATGTAGAAACGGCCCAACCACAGACTTCCTCTAAGAGAGAATCCCGCCAACCCCCACATCCATTTAGTCACACACACACACACACACACACACACATAAAGACAGGGGACCTCATACATTCATACACGGCAGCAGACTTTAGCACTTTAGTTTGGTAGAGCAGATCTTTCAGTCTTGCGAATCTTGTTGGAAAACTTGTTTTTTAATTTACCTGGATGCGATACAATTGATGAGTCAGCGACTGTGCGTTGTTGTATTTTGATATGATTTATTATGACAGTTATAAAGCTAATGGCCAATAGTTGCTATGCATATTACAACTTTAAATATTTGGTAATTAAATTTGCACATAAAAGAATATGCTAATCTTACAAAATGTGTATGTATGTATTGGCAAACTAATTTTGTTCAGCTTTGCTACAGCTAATTAAAACACATGGCGTGTCCTGAACTCGAGCGGATGTGCTGAATGCATTTTACTTCTACGTCTCAAGGTTGTTTTTGCCATTTCAAATCCAGCTTTATTTGCATCGCGTGCTGAACTGTTCTGGAGGCTCAAGGTGACCCTGTGAGCCTCTTTCTTTGCCTTGCTTAGATGATCTTACAGTCCGCTGCATATCATGTTTCTGAGACGTGATGCGCATATTACTTTACAGTACATACACTGTATTCATACAAGTACAATGTATGACGTGTTTTCAACCTCATCTGAAGTATTTATTTGTGTATTCAAGGCTTGAGGGTGTTTCAAAACAGTATTTAATGTTTCTCTAAAACGCATTTTTGGCAGTTACAAGGTCGTCACCTGACAACAGCAATCAGCTGCAGCCTTGTGAATCGACGTACGGGGTTGTGTTCATCTGTGGCAGATGGTGTGTGACACAGATGTGGAGTGATGTGTTGGCATAGTGCATCTCAGTCAGGCTGGTGCCGACCATCTAGTCAGCACAACTGCCCACTGCCATACACACACACACACACACGCACACACATTAAAACCTGTGCCCACAAAGTTTGTGAACAAAATAAAAACCGTTGTTCTAAGCCTTGTGATTTGTGCAGTAATAATTGTGTATTTTAAAGCTCTAACGACTTTCTGGAACTGTGTGTCCGTGTGTGTATGTGCGCGTTATTCACACAATAATCTTTTGTGTGTGTCTGAGTCAGCTCTCTTTCTTTCTGTGTTCCTGCCTCACAGTAGAAAATAGAAAGTTGAAGGAGAGAAAACAGCACGAGGAGGCAGAACGACATGAGGCACGCGAGTGCACATCACATAAATCCTTCCTGAGTACCAGACACACACACAAATACACGCTCACACACACACACACAGCGCCTCTTTCACAGTCCACAATAAACACGTAGTAACTGAAAGAGAAGATAGAAAAGAGGTAATCATGAAAGAGTTGGAAGACACACACGCACACACAGATACATTTTTAATTTAGACAGCACAAGGGAGTCATTGAAGATGTTTGGAGATTCCTTGTCTAACATGCACAGAACATACAAGTAAAAGTCTTGTTTTTCATGTTAAGGGTGGCTGACGAATGAAATCATTCAAATGTCTACTGAGGAAAAGTGATTCAGAAATATTAATGAGAGACCAATATACACATTAACAGCAACAGCAATATACACATTAACAGCAAAAAAGAGAGAGCGAGGGAAAGAGGCAATGAGAGAGAGCGTTGAAACCTGTGTGTGTGTGTGTGTGTGTGTGTGTGTGTGTGTGTGTGTGTGTGTGTGTGTGTGTGTGTCAGACAATAGGTCAGTAAACGTTAGGCTGTATTCAGCGTGGGATTAAGAACAGAAGGTAAGTAACGTGCTTTATCTTAACCGGCTGCTGTCCCACCTGACACACACACACACACAAAAACGCACATTATTTCATTGAACAAGCTGAACATTGAACTGAACAAAAAAAGACACCAAAAGACCATCTAAATAGTCACATGTGTCAGACAAAGGAGCACCAGTTGACTAAATTTAACTGAATATATAGTGCAAAAGCATCATTTTGCTACATGTTTATTGCACAAGTGATCAGGATGATTGTACAAAATACCAAGACTTGTAAAAGCCTTGTTCGCACAAAAAGGAATCTTAACTGGTTGAAGGGATATACGTGTAGATCTCTACAGACTCTTACACAAGTTCAGAAACCCCCCCGGAGGCAGACTGCCTCTGTCAGATACTTTTTTTACTGTTTTGCACAGAAAAACAGCAACATCAAACCGATGAAGTCATGGATCATGGAAAGTCATGGAAGTCAAAATGCGCATGACAGTCAGATTTGCCTCAACAACAACCAAACATGTATTGGCCATTCTGTCCTCTTTCTGCACCAAGTGAACTAAAGACAAACTGGTTAAGAGAAAAGCCTCTAATTTGTCAGTTCCATCAGTCAGTTCTGGTATCACGTTTGGATTTAAAATACTAAAAACCTTTGTTAGGTCGTAAGTTCTCTATTGCAAAGCAATCGTTCACCGGCTGACTAGCAGTTTGGATTTAGGTTACGAGTCTCTCACTGCCTGTAGACTCATCATGTGCATCACTGCCACGTAAATTCCTCTCTTGGTGTAGGGCCCAAAACCACTGTTTGTTGCTATGGACTGGCATGGAAATGTCATGCAAATCCACAAACAGGCGGCAGATAAAGTTACTAAACTAGACAAAGGAAGAGAGGGAGAGAGAGAGAGAGAGAGAGAGAGAGAGAGAGAGAGAGAGAGAGACATACAGAGATAGTTAAAATATTACAATGCAGGTTTAACTAGAATTTCAACAGAATTCGAAATATTAAAAAACAACCATGTCTTCTGTTCCTTTTGATTAAGACAGAATTAATCATCATCACTTGTGTGTCCTGTGCATCTAGTAAACATTGACTTTAACTAAAACTACCATTATAAGTATCGTGCTTTACTTGCCTGGGGTGAATGTTGAAGGTAAACAAAGTTAATCAAACGTGTCAACATTGAAAGTTCTGCAAACAAACTCAATATTTTTACTTCTGTTCAGCAGAAGGTTTCCCTTTGTGATCTCAATCAATAGTCCGCGTTGTGTTAAGGAGAAAAGGAGCGGGTCTTCCACTCATGAGTAAACACCTGGACGATACAGACACACAAGTTCACACAACCATAGAAGTCCAGGTGAGTGGTGTTGTGCACACTGAAGTACGCAGCTCAGCAGATTGCTTCTGGAAGAGGCTACGAATAGAGAAATGGAGCTGACACACACACGCTGAATTTCACACCAGACTGACTCGTCTCTCTGCGCAGTTTTCTATCAAAACTCTGCATCTCTGTTTTACCTCACGTACACAAAAAGCCACACACACAGTTTTTGTCGGGCTCCACCTTGTTCGCTCAGACACAAAGACACGATTCCAGCACAGAGCACTGAAACGCGCATGTAAAGAGACGGGAGACCGTCTGTGCCTGTGTTTCCGTGCATTGTGTGTGGTCACTGATCTAAGGCCTGGAGCAGGAAATATGAAACCCTGTGGGAGAAGACACCGATGGTACTGTGTGTGTGTGTGTGTGTGTGTGTGTGTGTGTGCGTTTGTGTGTGTGCGTGTGGGAAAAGGGGAGAATGTTTATGCTGCGATATGACTATGACTGTCTATGTGGATCTATAGAGAAAGCTTTGGAATTAAACAAGCTTCATCAAAGTGCACTGAACAGTCACTATCGACGTGAAACAAGTGAAACAAAACTCTGCACACGCACGCACACAAAGCACACAAACAGACGCGAAACACTCGGACTGTCAAATGCAGAGTGGCAGAAGCAGAGGGAACCAATTAGTGGTGTGGCTTCGATGATGTCACTGGCAAGTCACGCACCGGTGGCACAGCTTCCGCTCAAAGGGAAACAACACCACACACAGCGCACACGCACACAGACACACTATGTGACACAGGAGAATCCTGGATGATTATAGGGCAACAGAGGTTTCAGATAAGACGTGAATTTAGAGGGTGTGTGTGAGAGAGAAATCTTTGTCACCTGGAAGAACTTTGGATGTTTATGTCTTTTTAGGCTGTTGGAGGATCTGAACAGTCATGATAATCTGCTGTAGTCTGTAAACCAGAACATGTTGCACTTATAACGCTGTACAATCCGGCTCTAGCATTGATTGCATTGAAAGCGCTCACCTTCTACAAACACTCGTACTGCAGAACTGATTACATACTGTGAGGCTCAACATTTTTTAGAACTGGTTGTATTACGGAACTTCTTCAGATAGCCAGATGGAGGAGCTATGCATTTATAATTAAACTGGTATACATTTTTACTTATTTAGAAACGATTTTCGGTCCATTACTGGCCCCAAAACAGTACAACTAAAATCGTAAGTCCCTTCCAGGTGTGCAGCACTGCAAAGGTACAATACAATATTTACAGGACTGACCTGTCCTGAACCTGTGTTCATAGTTGCCAATTGGTCAAATAGCATCAGCAGAGTGCGGATCTTCTAGCAACCACCTCCCTACCGTTTGGGTCACCACAACCATGAGGGTCCTTGAGCAAGCAGCCAGAACAGGGCACCCAATATATCAAACCGTCAGACACAGAGGTGCACTCACTCACTCACAGACGCAGGTGTGCACACACACACACACACACACACACCAAATCAAACGCTGTAAATGCATACACAGGAAATAGTTTACAAATGAAAACCGCCCTATAAATGTGTTTCCTTCTGGGGTTTTGAGTTTGAGAGCTTCTCCGTCACAGCCGTCCCTCCATCGTGGAAGACACTCGTCTGCTGCTTATTCCGACCCCCACAAGCAAGAACCTCTGTCCTCCCTTACAGCCTCTTTTCACTATTTTCTCTCACTGTTTATATGATATGTTATGCATTGATGTGCATGTGAGGTCAGCATTTAGGAGTATAGTGCACACTGCACACACACACACACTGCAAATCAAGAAATAACCTTCAACAACGAAACGTGAGGAACTTGTTTGGTTTCAACCTCTTCAAAAGTCACATTCTCAAATACGACTATGTAGTGTGTCTCATTCACTGAGCTAAAGGATACAGCTGCCCACATATACTGTTTAAGTGTGACACCTTCTGTGCAGCAGGTCAACTGGTGGAGTACAAGAAGGAAAGAAAGACCAGTATCTGATTTACATGAAGGACAGAATCAGCAGGGCAGGTTGTTCACACAAAGGAAACCACAAATAAAAATCTTTGGATGAATAGCAATGGCTGAATGAATTAGGTAAATGTTCGACATTGTGAAAAAATTCAAATGGGCCGTTGATTGCGCAAACTCCAAAGCTTTTGCCGAGGTGTCAAAACGAAGGACTACAAGCCATATACATGTTAAAGGGAAATGCATCTCACGTTAAATCCCGTGTTTGGATACAGCTACAACACTTAAGCGATCCAAAAAGAGCAAACTACTCACTGCTTGTGAGCAAGTCAGCAGCTAATGCTAAAATAAACGGGTCCACAGCTGGCTCCCATTAGCCTGCACGTCTACGCACGCTACACAATATGCCGTCGCCATGTGTAACCTGGCTGTGCTTTTGGTTTGGGACCGTCTGTGGTTGCAGAGGAAGGCGGGAGAGAGGGAGGAATGGAAGGGGGGAGGAGAGGAGGATGAACGGTGGGAACAAGGATTTACGGCTTTTTTTTAAAAACACATAAAGAACAGAACGAGGGAGGGAGGGGGGGGGGGGGGCGGCCTGGATGTTGATGTAAAAAAATTATACCAGGATAGTAACAGGGAAAGAAGGGAATGTGAATAACGGGGGCCAAAACAGTGACTTGGTGCCACAGTCATGAACTATTCTTCCATTTCTTCGGCCCTATTCACCATAAATAACAGATTTGATCATTATTTCTACCCCAGTATTCACATTTACGTTAAATATTACTCCATATTGTTTTTACTCATTAATATCTTTGTTTGTTTGTTTGATAGAGAAATATGTCGGTAATCAAATACATTACTGGAAAAAAGAACTGTTACGTATGTTTCTTTTTTTCAGGCTCTACTGGACATTGTAAAAAACATAACTTTAAAAAAAAAAACTGCTTCAAAAGAAATACCAAGCGTTAGACGTGTTAGTGTGTGTAGTTTAGCTGTGGAAGTAATTAAGAGGAGAAGTTGCAACGTGCACAACATCTCTGCCCCGGCCTGACAGTTGTATTCTACAGGGAGGTCCGGCAGCATCGGAGGGCAGGCTGTGTGTGTCTGTGACTTTGTGTGTTTGTGTGTAAGAAATGAATGCTGGATTCTCGGTACAGAGGAAAGTAGCAGAAAATGAACCCTCGGAAGACAATTAAAGGCTCTGTATTGAGTAGTTGTCCTCTTTCTTCTTTTCAGTGCACATTGCACAAGCGGAGTAAGAATGAATATTGCATTAAAGTTAAGGCTGAAACCTTTAACTTGTTTTGCTTTTGTTGGAGCTACATGAAACAATTATTTTAGATCTGGGTTAACTTATTGTGAGTGACTGCCAGCATATCGCGACGTGTTTTGAATATGGGCGAATAGAGCAGACTGTCAGCACATTGATCCTGATGCTCAGACGTGTGCGTGCGCTGGATTTCAGTTCTACAGAACCACTGCAACACTGCTTTACATTGAAGACTCCAAGCCTCATTAAAACTTCATGGATCTGTGAGCACCGTCGACAAAGAGTAAGGTGTCGTCTTACACACACACACACACACAACCCAACACTCTCCGTCTCTCCTGCACACATGCATGCAGCCAGTTTCTTCTTTGTCTGACACACACCACATAAAAAATCTCTCCTGCAAAATGGCATGAACACAAACACGCACACACACACACACACACAGCTCCCAGACATCAGGGCACTTGTGTTAAATAATTAACAGTGTGAGATTAGTCTGTCAGCCCTGGGTCATGGAGGTCCATCGATTTCCCAGGATGCATTTTTAATGAGCCGCCACACGACATTCATCTCAGCTGGCCAGTGTCCGTGAAGGAGCTTCTGACACATACGCACAACAACATCCGGGGGAGACAATTAACATCCACTCAACAGCAGCAGGAGCGTGCACTGTACAGCTGATGTCCCCTTGATAACGGCAGTAGACTAACATTGTGTGAGCTCTACAAGTTGTTTAACTTTGATAATTGAGCAACAAACATATGAATTCTTTCAAAGGTCGTTGCCTTAAAGAAGGTATTTATACGCGTTCGATGTCCACGTACGGAAACAGGACAATGAAACTCAACATGGACGTCATGAAATCAGGTGATGTTTTTTTTGTCATTTTCATTTCATAAAATAAAACAGGAACTGGAAGCAAAAGAGCAGACATTTGTGTTTCTCAAAAAGTTTCATAATGTCATGCTGGTTAAAAAAGTCAGATGAATCAAGCTCAGATGACCGAAGCAGGAGATAGAAGTTGTTTTTGTTGTAAAAAATTGTTTTTCACCTACAACAAGAAGTCGCTTGGTAGGATTAAGATGCGTTTTGGAAACACTTAATGAGAAAGACAAAAACAAATCTCAATCTCGCAACTCAATTCATGTCCCGTTATCAACAGGTGAAGAGCAGCAACGACAATGCACAGCATGTGTGTGTGTGTGTGTGTGTCTTGTCCTACCTTTCCCGTCTCTCTCTCAAAGTCGACATACTCCCTTGCAGGAAGCTGCCGCTGATCTCCATGCAGGTTGGCGGGGAAGAACTGGAGGGAGAGGTTGGTTCCTGTGGCTACAAAGGCCTGCGGAGGGACAGAGAACAAAACCTCCATTGAGGGATTTCTGACTGTGAGAGACCAACGGTCATTAAAATCGTTGATGCTCAGTGTTAGCTGATGTATCAGCAAACACCTGCAAATCCAGCCGAGGCCAAGCACATACCAGGTCCAAAGTACATTATTTGTTTTTGGTTTTCCAACAAATATTTGTGTCTCCTAAAGCTGCTTCGCCTGCCTATTGTTAATTTCTACTCTCGCTGTTTCATTCTGAAAAGGTTTGACTACATAAGCGTGTTAATGGCAAACAAGGTGCTCACAGTTTTCCTGCACTGGCATGTTTGATGATGAGGGACATTCAAATATAGAAAATGTATCAATCAATGGACTGAAAGCTAAAAGCATCGTGTAGAGCTGCGGTTTACTGGTTTATTTGGTAGTATTTATGAAAGGTCAAATGACACACCATTGATTTGACATGTCAAAGTCAGTTTGACTGTCATGAGGAACTTATTAAGGGAGGAGGCTATACATTTATTGGAGATTTCAAATCCATAACAGAAAACTGTTGCAGACATTGGTGCGACGGACCGATTTGCAACAGATCGATAAAAAAACAACTTATAAAAGTACTTTTAACAGGGCCTTTCTGATACAATAAATACCCCTCACAGTATCCCGCATTTTGAGCAAAATTAAAAGACTTCTCGCAGAGGTTTAAAAAGCAAAATATCAGAATAATTTAATTATCTCATTTTGATAGACTGTTTTTTGTTATTTCTGTATTTCCGTCTTTGTCGTTTTCTGCTTTGTCTGTTTCTGACCACTGGCCTGCTCCCCCCGCGCACATAATCACATCACACTGTAAAGCTTTCCTGCTTTTTTGATTTCTGTATAATGGCTTCATGCTCTAGTGGGAGGCATTACTATAAAGATAAACACACACAGACACACAAATTCATGCACACACGCATAGAGAAACACAAATAAAATAAAAAATCATGCATTTCAACGTTGCATTCATAAAGCAATTAATTATGGCACGGCAGAAAAATCAGTCAAAAAATGCATATCTTAGTGTGTGTGTGTGTGTGTGTCGTATATTGTGTTTGTGGAGACGGATCAATACTAATGGCATGAGGGCTGCGACTGCGCTGGGAGCATATGAATTATGCACACTGTAAAATCGGAGAAAACCAAATGAAAGAAAAGAAGGAAATAACAACAGGGAGTGGAAGAAAAGGAGGAGAAAGCTGAAAATAAGTAAGTGTACACACACACACACAGAAAGAAGCTCTCTCATTACACACGTGGATATACACACACACACACACACACACACAGAAACGCAAGCTCAACGAAAACCCAAGTCATCAATTCTGCAGTATTTGAAGTATTGGATTACAACCATCTGACTCTCATTTGCTGCCTACTACTGCTGGAGCAAGAAAAAAGGGGAGGACAGGCAGAGAGAGGATGGAGGGAAACTAGGAGACAAAGGAGGGGGGGAAAGAGAGGGAGGCAGCGAGAAACGAGGGAAATGAGAGAAAGGAAGAGAAATGAGGGTGAATAGGGCGACGGGAGTAAAGGCAGCCTGGTAGTTATTCAGTCTAAAGTCAGACTAAGACAAAGACGGGGAGGAACGACAGTGAGGCGACGAACAGAGCAAAGGACATGAATTAACAGGAGGTGAACAAACAGAGAGAAACATCAGGGCAGCATGAAAATCAATTTGTAATCCTGAACAGTTAAGAGCCGCCCTGTGATGCACACACGTGTGTGTGTGTGTGTGTGTGTGTGTGTGTGTGTGTGTGTGTGTGTGTGTGTGTGTGTTATTTAGGAGATAGATCAGTAACACACAGCGCAGCTTTCAAATTGCATTTTTACGTGACATGTATTGTAAATCATGGGGAAGGGACATAATGTAATTACAGTATCTAAACATGCAAAATATATAACATTTAATAGTGAAAAAAATCTACTACCTTTAAAAAAGAATAAAACCATGTGAAATCAAAATATTTAGACATTTAGAAAACTCCAGCTTAATATAAAACATATGTACGGTGAAAGGTGTCTTTGATTTTACCTTTTAACAGGCGTTTGAGGATTTACTAAAATGAAAGTCACCAGTAAGAGAATCACCAACATGACTACACTTTGACATGTTATGAGTGGAGTGAAAGCACTGTTTGTAGATCAAATAAAATTACTCTGCCTGGAATCATTTTCTTTTGTCTTTTCCAAAAACATATTTATTTACGTATACCTAATGCTTCTCCATTATTGAAAAAGAAATCCTATTTAACTAAAAGGTCTATTCTCACTTCCTGTTGAATACTGATGTCACATGAGCAGCAGAAAAACTTTCCCTCTTCAGCAGGTGAGAGTAAAGAATAAAACAGCATTCTAGGGTCAGAATCTTCTCATGCGTCATTCTGCACAATTAAAGGTCAAACATCTCTGTACAAATACGACACCTGACTGGAGACGGACAGTAAACACAACAAAATGATTCATTCTATCCTAACAAATTGGGCGCAGTTTATTTGCTCTGTGCTCTGTTCCGTCTGTTAAAAAGTGATCCTGCGCCGCACGTTTGAGTGTCATCGTGTCAGGTCATTCGCGGCAGCCATGGAAATAGCAGGGGGTCTTTAGCGGCGTCTGCCTCATGGATAAATCAGCGACATGATGTCACAGCTGCTGGGAAACCATTAAAACTGTGGCCATCAATTCTCACAGAAGAGGCTTATAAATACAGTGAGGACAGACGGACGGACACATCATGTGGCGCTAAAAGATGGTGATACTAAATGAAGCCCCCCCTCCCGAACACAGCAGAAGTTGCCTTATGGTATTTTGCTGTCAATTCACTTTGTGTGAGGATAATGGTTAAATAATTAGTTAAAGAAGAAGTGATTATATAGCGAGAAAATGAAAATCCTTTGACTTTTGAAGTTTTAAACAGGCGACCACAAATGCTGCATGCACTAGTTTTCTTTTGAGAAAATAAAATATGTCACATGGGTTCAGAGGCTTTGCTGGAGGAAACATAAGAGTAGTTTGTTGTCTTTGCAGAGGACATTTGTCTCCCGACTGTATGGACTAGATTACGTTTAAAAAAAACATATAATGGGCATAAATATCATGCACTGTTATAGCGTTAAGTAAAGCACTTAATATATTAAAATACACCTAAAATGAGGAGTAGTAATCCAGTATTAGAAAAATACAATTCCAACAGAGATAACTTTTATACTTGAAGTAGTTTTGAATCTACTGGATGATATTTTACGTACGTCAAAAAATGTGCGTTTGAGAACGGACACCAATGAACAACAACCCGCATGAATGAAAACACGGTGAGCAGGAATCTCTCTCTTTGTGTGGGACTGCACAGACTTTTCTGTCCCCCGTCCCGCTTCCCACACATGGAGATGGTGTTCCTCTTTCCCATCGGCTCTAGTTTTCAAAGGCCAACCCGCTGGACCAGGGACATTTTTCTAAAAACCTGGCTGTGAAGAGAGCAGAAAGGGCTGCAGGTGGACGTCAATCCAACTGAGGTGTTGTCGAGTGCAGGTGAACGCTACGGCCAACGGGGGAAATGCCCCATTGACTTCGATTTATTATGGTGTCACAACGCACACACACGGGCAGCAGAAAGGCTTTACGACAGGAACATGTTCTTTGCCCTACTTGTCTTTATATATTTGACTTGTAGATGTCTGATGCGGTGCAACGCAACAAACTCTACATATAAATCAACTGTTGAAAAAATGAATTTTGAAAAACTCCAATTCAAATTCCAATGTGACATATTGTGTTCTGAGACTGAACAGTCCAAAACTCCATAGATGCTTTAAATCATGCCGGAAAAGAAATGGCACATACACATTGACTTCACTTCCAAAACTCGTTGATTAGTTCTATGTTGCTCGGGATGAAACATTTTACTAACTCGACTTTAGTATTGATATAGTGCTAAATTGCATCACTGTGTAACGTCAGGTGTTTGTATCGTCCCATTCACTCGCTGCATGTTGACTTCATTCACTACATGTTGACTGTATATACCACAATTAGACATGTTAGCTGCTATTTACTTTAGCTGAGCATTTATAGGCCCTAAATTGCAGCCCTAAGAGTGTTGCAAACGTAAACTGCCTGTGTGATAACAAGCGCTGATGCGCTTCGACCAAACAAAGCCCGGATAATGATCATGATGATGCAGAATTCAGAGGGAAGAAGCCGTGAGCCGGTAAGCGCAGTTAAACCCGGTGGTTCTGCATGTCTGATACAACGTCTACTTCGCTGTGCGAGGACACGTCAAAACACACAGAGTGTCTATCTGCAATGTGCTGCTGCACAACATGAACTGATTTCAGCGCTTCCTTGATAACAGTTCATGTGTCTCATAAAATGGAGTCAGCTTTGACACCAATGCACAATACTGTAAAGGATTTTGAAGTTTGTTTAATTTGATTGGATAAATGGACAAATAGGTGTACAGACAGACAGAGAGATGGATTAGCACAACACATAAAGGAGACTCAAGTAAGACAAATAAATAATTCAGTTTTGCACTCACTATTTCTGACCGTCCGTCCCTGCAAGCGTTCTGGAAGCGAGCTTGTCTCTCCTCATGGGGCCGGTCCCTGAACCCAGTATATTTAATCTACAATGAACAGAAAACACCAACCGGGAATACCGAGATCATGAACTCATATCATCAATAACAACCTGCTCGGTGCTGGTTTGGGAGAGAAAACACTCCCAACAGGGCTGTTTGACGCTGAATGCTCATCAGGAGGCTGATATCAGATAATAAGACATGGGAATTCAGCTTTAAGGAAAAATGCACATTCTTTGTGTTTTATCATCATAATCCTAAAGAGTTATACGAATAAGAATAACTGAATGGATAGGGCAGAGTAAGAGGTATGAGAACATACACATCTCAAAGGTATTTGTATTCATACATTTGTATGGGGCAACTTCACTCCATAAAGTAGCTTGAAACGAGTGGACTCGTCGCGCTTTTGTCCTCTTCTCGTTTCCGTCTAACAGAAGGACCCAAACACTCACCTCGCACTCTCTGCTCAACTTGCGGAAAAACTCCTCGTTCTCAAACTTGCTCCTCTGTTCCGGGACGACCCGCGGCATCTTCACCCACTCGTTCCGGATTCTTTCACTTTCCCTTCGTATTCGTCTTTTTTTCTTTTTATAAATATTTATCCCGCACAGTCAAACTTAAAGTGCCGTCCGTCCCTCTCTGGTTCACTCACTTCTCTTCCGTGTATAAGCTGTTTCTTTCTCTTCTTCTATGCGGAGCGACGAGCTCTCTGCTGCTGGTCTCTGGCTTTGCTCTTATTAGTATTATTATTATTATTGTTATTATGGTGATGATGATGGACCGCGCTCCGAGTCGTCTCCGGCTCCAAATGGCTCTTACTGAGTGACCCACCTCGGAAGATAAAGCGCAGTTTGTCCGTGTCTCTCTCTCTCTCTCTCTCTCTCTCTCTCTCTCTCTCTCTCTCTGTCTCTCTCTCGCTGTCTCTCTCTCTCTCTACCTGTAACTTTGAAGGGCTCCTCCCGGTGGCCCTGCCGATTATTTAAGCCGACGTAGGTGTATTCATATAACAGCATTACTATACAGGCTGAATATATATAACTTATTTGAACATTTTAATCACAGTCATGAATAATAAGACACGGATGTGTTCGCCCTGGTGGCCACAGCTTTGTTCGGTAAAATAATTACATGTTAATGGTTTAACGCTCCTCAAAACGCCTTAATCGTACTGCTAACACGTAAATAGCCATGGAATTAAATTAAAAAAAATTATCATCAGCATGAAGCAACATATAAGGCAGTAGCACACACAACCATAACTATTATGTGTGTAATGTATTTTCGATTTCTGTAGCTTGGCAGCTGAAACAGCTTTAAGTTACGGCACTTTCTCCGGGTCATTAAAGGCATCAGCGGTCTACTTCCTGGCTCCGTCGAGTCGCTCTTGTGACTGTACGTCCAAAATAACGCCCCATTCACAATAATAATACTACTACACACGCTACCGGGCTGCCACTGCGCATGCGTTCGACTTGGACCGCAGAAGCTTTATAGGATCCTTATGTGAGCTCAACCAGGGAGGGAGAGACTGATCAAATAAACGCTACCATGATGTCTGTAAATGTTTGGAAGATGTAGCCCACATTATGTTAAGTAGAAGAAAAGTGTTTTGTGAGTCCATCAGGGCTTGTGGAAAACACAAGCAAAACACAAGTGTTCAATGCAGAAAGTGGCTTCTCACAGAGTCTGTGGTATGGATACTATTTTTAATAGAATGTATGAAGGGTTTCTTCCACCATCATTATGAGACCTTACACCTTTTTTGTCGCGGTAGCCGTTTTAACCTTTGAGAAGAATAAGAAGTTGGTTTCATTTGTGCTTCTTGCTTTGTCATGTCAAACTGTCTGCAGTGAAAACTACCTGTGAGACAACAGATCAGCATGGACCAGAACTCTTCAGGGTAACGAGACATGTTTGCAGGGAAAGAACACTTAACTGAGTTAAGTGACACAAACACACACACAAAACCACAAGAACACAATTTAAATTGACATGAATACAGTCAAAACATATTACCGTTTACAACTTAATGATAAAATAAGTTCTGATTTTGCATGGCGGATTTAAAAAAAGCCTCTTTATTCACAGTCAACACAAGAGAAACACAAAGATGTTCTCATACACAAACGTCTGTGCATGCACACAGAGAGCAAATAAGGCTCCAACAGGGGTTTTACAATGAACAAGAACCTGCAGGTCGAAAGAGTCTGTGTACATTCTCATGCACTTCTCCTGTGTTGGGACATGCTTTTTTTTTGTATGTGTTAATGAAGCTGTCCGTGTGTGCGTCTGTGTGTGTTTGTAGTGGTAGACGTGTGTCTGGGGACAAAAGGAGAGAGTAAATGAGCATATGTATGGTGACGCTTTTAAAACAGAAAAGAGGTAACTAATATCTCCTATTTCGTTGTAAGGATTTGGAGAATAAGAAGTGCTGTTCTTCTGTCCCAAACTAAAGTTGTTTTTAACCAACTCGGCGCATCTTTCAGGCTGAAAGACCAAATATTTTAATCACTGCTTCTCCCCCTAAAAAGGATTTTCAAAGGGGAAACAAAGCCTCCGGCTACAGCGTTTGGTCTGATGTCTTTTTTAAAGAAGCATTCCTTTTATGACGCCCATGTGATTGATTTCTACTAGTCTTCTCTCCCTCAGACAGCCTGAGGATCTCTCACACGCACACACAGCTCACTGCTGTCCTAAACTATCCGTTTGTCTGTGTTAGCTGCAGGCCAAACAGCACGTGAATCATTAACAACGGTAGCTTGTGATGCTGTAAGAGGTTCATTAATAAATCAGATCAGATCTGTGGTTGCCATGGTGAATAGTTCTGACATGCAGTCTGATCTCATCTCCACACAGCACAGTGAGCACAGCTCACTTTAGTTCATGTGTTACTTTTCTCACTTAGTTCAGTGCCGAGCAGCCTGGTTACCAATCAAAGGAACTACATTGTTAAATATCGTATTTTTTTTTCCTGATTACTTTGAGGTGAAAAACTATTTTTAGAGAAGCTTGAGGGAAAGTTGATTTCAGCTTTACCGATGCTCTTAGATCTCCAGTGTGGCTCTCTGCATAGCAGTCGGCCATTTTGGACTGAACTATTTGGCAATTAATCCCATGTAACTGTAGAAATCATTCTCAACAATTTTGATAAGAGTTAAAATGTTTAAGTCACTTATCAAGAAGAGAAAGCCACATATTCACACCAAAGGACGTTGGTGCTTCTGCACGGCTTTAAGTTTTGGTGTGCTGGTGAGACAAAAGTGACTAATTCCTCATCTTGGGTTGAAATTAAAATCCCCCCTAAAAATATGATATCTTAGGTTTAAAAGTGCTTCAGGGAGCAAAGAGTAAATAGGAGCCTTATTTTCTGTATATAATTAGTTTTAATTAATCTCAATTTACCAATTGTAAATACAAATTCAAATTTTGTCTGAGGATAAAGATTCCACGGTTTGTTTTTCTTTTTCCTAACTAAAAATAAAAAATCTGTCCTATATCATGTTGTTTGTCCTCATTGTATTTCAAGGATACCTGCAGATATATTTTGGCTTTGTTTTCTGGTTTAGAAAATGTTGCTGCTGCTGTGGAAGTGGCCTAATAAATATTTAAAATGCATCAATAACAAAAAGCTAATGATGCTTCAGCGACTCACAGCTGACTCGAGACAATCAGTGTGTGTGTGTGTGTGTGTGTGTGTGTGTAGTTAAGATGTCGTTCTCAACTCATCTCGTCGCTGCGTCTACAAAAAAGGAGATGACAACAAAGAGACCCGTTGTCATCTGTCGCTCTTTCTGTGTGCGGCCACCTCCGCTCTATCTACTCCTTGTCAATAATGTTCAAACACATTATTGTGCAGAAATGACATGTTAGCAAGTTTCTCTCACAGAGAAACTAAGACTGGAAACTTCTTTGTGACTGCACAACAATTCCAAAACTATTTTCTCCAAAACTAAAGCACTAAAGGAGCTGACACATCACGCATGAGGGATTTCTTCTCATCAATACGACATCTCAACCTGTCTCATCCTCGCTTTCACATATTCTACTTTGTTTTTCCTCTGTGCTGTTTGGCAGCACTTGGAAGATAAAAATGTCTGCCTTGCTGCGCTGTTCAATGTGACCGTTCACCTCTCCGCTGTGAGGTTTGTTGAGGGTCAGTAAAGGTTCAGCGGGGTCGGTGGCGCTGTCGCAGATAGCCAAGAGTCACTAACTCTGCTTTGGATTAAATGACCATTAGCAACAGACAGGATTACCAAGCGGCTCCACAAAGAGAACTGCATGCGGGCTCATCGTGACCCGACTCTGCCAGTCAGGTTACATCAGCGACTGAGAATCGACCGCCTTCCTCATCCAGACATCCCTGCATCTCTAGCATGATACACACAAACGCAAACACACACACACACACACAAACACACACACACACACACACACACACAGCAGCAGGCCTGCACTGAACACGGTAGACGCTGGGTTGTGTGTGTTTATTCTTGGTCAGACTGTGGGATCCCGTGGCTGAAAGACAAATTTGGAATAGCACATGCTCCAGCATTTTAGTATATCGGTTACAGTGTTACGGTCCGGCCCGTCTCTCTGTCTCTCTGTCTGTCTGTCTGTCTGACTGTCTGTCTGACTGACTGTCTGCTCACTGGAGAAGAGACAAGTGGAGGGGGGAAGGGGGGTTACACAGCTCTCCCACAGTTCACGAGAGCAAATAAATGAACACACACACACATAATCAAGCTATAAGTCAGTATAATCAGTACGTTTGTTTCATTTACACTGAGGGGTCTTTTACCAACAACCTTCACTATGTGTAGAACTCTTAAAAACTGTCCTTTGCGCCATCCTGTGGAAGTATCAGAACACAACACTTTAGCATGGAGCAAAGCATGCGGTTATACATCCCCCTCTCTATTTTAACAAATATAAAATACAAATAAAAATCACAGCAGGATGAATGATGACACGTAGGTTGGACGAATAGAAAGGCGCTTTACAGGTAGAATTTATCATCCATTGAACTGTTTTGTTATTGTCATACTCATTGATATATAATTTCCTGCTTAGCAGAAGAATGTTGTTTTCATTCTGATCTGGCAAAAAACTTTGCAATCTGAGTTTGTCAAAGATTTAAGGGCATTCGGTATATTTATAGGAAATACAAAAAAGGCCATACACATTTAAGCTACACTCGAATCTGAATTTGACATTTGCTCTATATTATAGAACATCATTTATAATTTGTGAGAAAACACAATTCAAAATTTAGAAAATTTAGCATAAATTCTGGTGAGATCACTGCATATAGCCTATGGCACACCGCCCCCACCCGCCAACTTGTCCTTCACAACCTACTGGGTGAGAACAGAGCTGAGGAAGATCAAGGTGAGAAAGGCCACGGGTCCAGACGGCATCAGCTCCTCAGGTTCTGCGCAGACCAGCGTTGCGGGATAGTGGAGCACGTCTTCAATCTGAGCTTGAAGCTGGAAAGGGTACCACGGCTGTGGAAAACGTCCTGAGTGGTACCAGTCCCAAAGCCAGTGCAATTTTTTATGGAGTGGTCTGCTGGAGCAGCAGCATATCGGTGGCTCAACAAGCTCATCAAGAAGGCCAGCAGGGTGCTCTGGGGTCCACTGGACACGGTGGAAGTGGTGGGAGACAGGAGGATGAGGACTAAGCTGATGAGCAACACCTCCCACGCCATGGCGGACGCCCTGGAAGCTCAGTACAGCTCCTTCAGCCAGCGGTGTGAAGGAGAGGAACTGCAGGTCCTTCCTTCCTGCTGCTGTCCGGCTGCACCACCAACTGTGCACCCAGTGAACCACAGAACATTACACTAAAACACAAAAATATA